AATGGAATGGAATGTTATTAAAGTTGCAAATGTATGTCACGCAATACAAAATTACTTTCTAAATGATAAGCGTGATGTACTCCCATTTTAGTGAACAGCTAACTACAACGTTTTTAGTGTTCCAGTGAGGAATTATACTCTTCAAGGTATTAAAATATTTCTGTAATATACGGAATTTTTAAATATTCAGCATAATCATTCGAAATTTTATCATCGTACTAAGGTTGTATCTCACCCAGCTATTCTTCCATAAGTGGGGTAAGCTGACGCCAAACTATTTTGGCTTTTAAAATTTGGCACAATTAGAGCACTAAGATGTGATTTTTAAACATAAACAGAATAGTAACTTTTAAGTTTTGCAGTAGTGAAAGGCCGTTATTTTATGTAAACAGAATAGAAAAATGAGATGATAAAATACTAGATGAGTAAAACAAAGTCCATAAGCTTTGCAAGTAGAAACATAGTCCTATCTATGTAATTCATGATAAAATAGTATAATGAGTAATAAAATAATAAATTTTATAACACTTTCCTCAGACTCCAAAATTGTCAACCAAGTAAATCTATTCAAATTCACTAACAAGGGATGCATCATAAACTCATTAAAATATTTAAGTTACTATCATCCTGAAAATCAACAAACTAAACAACTTTCGTTCAAAACTTTAAACATTCCACATCTTTCGATTGTCACATGCAAAAAACAAAACTGGGGGGGGGGGGAAACACTGAAAGGTTTCAGATTTTAAATTACGTACAAAGGGGCGTTTTTTTAACGTTTTGTGTGTTACCATTATTAATTAAATATCATGGTCTTCGCACTTAAGCTATAAATTTTAGTTCAATAGCAATGTTGCAAAATAATTTTAAAGTGAGCCTATCTTTAGAATTTCCGATACACAGTTCCGCGTGCTGGAGATAAAAAGGTTTCCCCCCCCCCCGTAGATCACTGCCTACCATCAGTTTATTATTCCCACTCCAGGATAGGCTGTTTTATTATATCTCAGACCTGTGCTGTCTTGCGGTCTCCCCTTCTCACCATGAACACTGTCAAGCAGCCCACAGGGCAGTTATTTCAAAGAGCCGGAACGTGTCATACAAGTAGTTACGTCATTCAAAATTCGATGGCTCTATGTACCGTTGTTTTATCACAATACGAGAAATACACATACATTTATGCAGATTTTTCATTATTTAATTTCTTCAAATATAATGCACGACTCTAACATTTGGTGGCAACAGTTTGAAAACTGAAACGGACATTTATAGTGATTGAACGCAAAAAGAAAACAATAGTTCTTCAGGGACAAAACCCTTTGAACTAATAATTAATTGACACGGAAAACATTAACTAAATAAAATTAAATGAAAACATTCATAAATTATAAACTTGCGTCATCTGAAATCAAACATTCTCCCGCCAACAACAGCTAAACCTCCTGCAAATATTAAACAATAAAACTTTTAAAAACAAACACACTATTTCAAAATTAAATTAAATGTACACCACATGACTTGTGCGGAATATTAAGTTATATGCATTTTTTCTTTCATTTCATTTAAACTTATTGGATTTAATTAAATCTACTTCGCCGACAGCGCATAAACCACAATAGAATAAATGCATTCTTTAAAATTCACTCTAGTATTTGTTAATCATAGTGACACTCTGGCGCTAGATTCACTTAACAGTATTATAACTCATAATGCACAAAATTTATATCATTTAAAGAATAGAATTATCTAATCTTTGCCACATGTTCTATTCAAATACTATAATAAAGCTAGAATGATGTATAAAAGAAATTAGGCAAACAAAACAAAAAAGAAACAGTTTTTCACAGACAATTGAGAGTTTCTCATTAAATTAATTCAGTTCTCACTTCGCGAGAAGGCAAAAAACATAATAAAAACTCAAAATATCTATATTAAAAATTACGAAGTAAATCTTAAACACTTATTTCCTCGAAAAAATTCCAGAAAGGATTAAGCATGATTTAATTGGCAATAATAAATGAAGGGGTTATCTTTGTTGTTGCGAAGCTACGTTTCTCTAGACTGGCAACAAATCCACTAGTCTGCTGTTTCAAATGTAAACAATCAATGGCAGCCATCAAAAAAGGCTCAGTGGCACTTAAAGAACTTTAAAATTGTTGATAATTCTAAAAATATTGCATACAGATTTACTAAAGGCATAAAAACTTTAACCGGAAGATAAAAACAACATAATTCAATCATTTTTAAAGCAAAAAATTTACAATTTACAAACATATAAGAGGAAAGAAACTGAGATCATTGAGCCGGGTAACAGAGTGTATATATAGATATATAAATATATTTATATACGTTTGGTGCAGCCGATTGCAACAAAATACGAGGTACACATCTACATGTTATAGCAGTCCTATATACAAAATTTCAACAACGTTCTGAGGCTACTCGTTTTTTGAGTTATGCGCGAGATACGTACATACGTTCGTACAGACGCAACGAAAAATTCTCTTCAGAATTCATTTTAAAGCAGTTTTATAATTTTTTTGGAGGAAACGAGTCTTTTATTCTGTCCTTACGTACAGATATCAAGCAAAAACATCGTTAAATTGCATTCGATAGCGGTCAAAATGGATATTTTCATTGAAATATGCTGCCTGAAACTTTTCGCGATTACAACACTTCCTTTTTACTTTGTACAAGGAAATAAAAAAATCTTCTGGGAGAATCAATCACGGAAATAAAGCTCTAGGTTTGTCACAGGAAAACATGCAGCTGGAAACCACAACCAAATCATGCCAAATTATAACCTCTCGCCCTAATTAAGCTTATATAACTAATCAATTTATGTTTATTACATATATGCATGAACCATAGCAACCAATAACTGCACAGCTTCAATATATTTAAATAATTGTATTAAAGCAAAAATATTGTATAATTTGTTTCATTTGATGATTAATGCAAATCACTTGTTTTAAATATTTCTGCATTTCCTAAACGCATTTTTCTGTTCTCTTGACAATTAGAGATTAAAATTTAATACAGTTTACTAAGCAAAAGCATAACGAATTTGCATGAATTAATAATAATTCCAGTTCATAAAACAATTATTGTCACCAAAGCTGAATTACAGAAAATCTGTATTACTCACTTCTGAGAATATACACTATACTATAGCCTTCATAGCAATGCTTAAAATACTGTTATTAGCTCTTACGGTAAACTGAGTAAAACTCAGCTGTTTATGTGTAACTTCACAAGTTCCTTTATTTAATCAACACATATGGAAAGTAAACACTTATTGTATACTGACTTGAATGTTAGCAGTAATAATTAATATATAATAATTGAAGAGAAATTTTAAAATTATTATTAAGAATAATGCGATTATCACCGAGACGAATATTAGACATGCATGAACTTTATAGAAGTGCAAGAAAATTCAATGATGATTCTTTACTAGCCATAAATTTCTGCAAATATAGAATGAAATTAGAACCATGTTTTAACTTGGGCATTTGGAATTATTTTAATATGGTTTTACACAGCAAAGACGAGGACTCGGAAAATTATGTTTTCATGTAAAGATGAGGTAACAATGAGATATATGCCTTCTTGATATTCTTCTAGTTTTAATATACATGATTTAGTTTTTTATTTAATTTAAATAATATGAAGATATTATATTTTATAATGCAGACATTAAAAAAATTATCAATTCAATCTAAATGAAACTGTACAACACAGAGCTGTACCTTTTTTTAGGCGAATCAGGCACTTACCAGTAATGGAACATAACTAACTATTTGGAAGTGCCAGTAATGGGGCATAATTAAGTTTAGGAGGAGCAGTTATGAGATTAGTTTCAGATATTAAAATCTGATGATAAGGCTCTGATGCTGTACTTTCTTTAAAGTGCTTAATTTTTTCTTTAAACTGGACTTTCTTTAAAGTTTTCTTTTGATTTTCTTTATTGAAATCAGAAATGATTTCAAGCTGTAATGTGTCAAAAAGGCATCAATATATATTTTAGTATTGATTTTATTGTTTTTTTTCTAGACAGAAATTAAAGAAAGTTACCTTAGTATACCTAGATTATTTGACTTCTGTAATATAAAAAACAGTGCTTTTTAAAACTGAATTTCAGTTATTAAGTTCAAATTAAAATTGACTGTATTTATGAAAATAAAAGTAATTTCACTACTTAATTTTGTAGAAATAAATTTAGAACATTTGTTAAAATTAAAAACTAATGAAATATAAAACTCCACCTCTTACATTAAAAGAAATATTTGTTTGTCCTACAATATGTAATTTGTAAATACCTTCAGACTCTCTCTTATCTAATATTCTCAGCAATGCCCTAATGGATGCAAGGGGGTAAGTTAATCTCTGCTTTCAGTATCAGTTCTGATTTTCCACTTCAGGACTTGAAATTCTCATGATAACATACATATGATTAACTACTAAATGCGCTAATTGGAAGTATTTATCTATCATAGTGCAAAATTTTTTATTCCTGTGTTGCTTTAGTGAAGAGTGATGTGAAAGTTTCTTATTTAATTTTGATTATGTATTTGACAGAAAATATGTAAGTGGACTAGTAATCTGCACTATTATTTGCCAGAAGAAGCATTTTTAGAAAACAATAAATTTAGTGTGATATAAATTTTTTTTAAGTAATGCATAGCTAAAATTACTTACTACATTTTTCAAGTTCTACTTATAATTTATATAATATAGGGATCTGATAATGAATGTAATGAATAGTGGATTACTCTTTTAGTATTCATTTTGGATTTAAATACCTTCTATTATTATAAATACTTCTATTACTTATACATTATAATTAAAAAAATAATTGGAAGAACTAAATGCAACCAAAATTTCCAAGTCTTATATAGTCTATGTCAATAATAAATAAATTTCCTAGGATTAAGTTATTGACACAAATTTTCATTCCTGCAAGTGGAAACAAAAAGATTAAAAAAAAAAAAAAACATCTGTATTAATTAAAAGATATTTTAATTTCTTCAATATCACACATCTCGAGCATTTTCAGCCAAGATAAATAACTACAACAGAAAAGCTTAATTCCACAAGGAATATTACAATGTATGGAAATAATCATCTATAAGTTAAAAAATGGCATGGAAGCAAGATGGCTTGTTTTTAGCTACACATTTTTCATACAAATACATTATGATACAAGGATATACATATCACAAACTCCAAGGCTTCATTTTCTCTTGCATATTTAAAGAAGTGCAGAAACCTTAAAGAATAACTACACTAAAAATATAGATGAGCATTTAAGTTTTCAACACAACAAGAATAAAGTATTAAATTACTTTTAAACAGTTTTTTTATCATAAAGACATGATGAATTTTTTTTTTTTAAAGTTACAGAACAAAATTAAAAAATGTAATAAAAAGCAAAACTGAAAATATAATTTACTACAACCATAAAACAAAATGTCATAAATATACATTTTTAATCAAAATACAGCAGGAAATGAGATGCATTGTTCAATTCAAAACTAAACACAAAGAAGTAAATTAATAACCATGAGTCGCTGTGAAAACAGAAGATAGTTATAAACTATTCTTAAGCTGCTTCAGAAATGTTAGTCTTTCGGGCTAATTAGTTACGGATTTTAGCTAATACACTACTAATATTGCGATGTTACATTTTCAGAGCATTTGTATGCAGACCACAGCAAGGCTAATCTATTATGGAAAATACCATATGCCAATGACTGGGTTTGTGATTTTGCTTACTTGGATCAAAATATACAAAGAATCCATTAAAAACCGAATGTTCTATTATTTCAAGATTACCTACTTCTCAGTAGATGAAAAAGGATATGATTTATAACTTGTAAGCAACTTTGCTATTCACCAGTTAAACTTAGGAATACTTTAGAATTACTTTTTCTAAAAAACAATTTAGTTATTTACCATTTTGCGTGTTTTTAAAAGGAATCAGTTAAAATAATGCATTATATTTTTTCATCCAAATATTGAATTTCATGTCCTGAGACAGGAATTCAGAGAACATATTTTATTCACTTTACTCTGTCTGTCACACTCAGCCTGTCACCTTACATGAATTACTTTCATCATTATTACTACCAAAAAATAACACTCTCATGCAATTTTTAATTTCAAAAGCCCTATATTATTAATTTAACACGTCCATGTAGACTGTAGTTGATACTGGTAGGTGGCCTGGTACTGAGCACTGGTAGTTGGCCCAGTTTGATTCACATTCTCATAAACAGGCTAATTGCTTTCATGGTTTCCCCCCTGTGTAAGACAGATAGCTCTGTATATTTTGTATAACTAGCCTCCCTCCAAAATCCTGATGCTCTTTTTAACTGGTGCAGCTTTAAGATAAGTTTAACAAATTATAATATTTAATTGAGTTGCATAATTTTAAAATGCTTACCAAACATAATTATTTTGGGCAGCTTTCAATTTCTAAACCACCAATCAAATTTTTTGACTTACATATTTTGCAAAATTTTACACAATTGTTTCAAGATTTCCTAGTTTATAATTATGAAATTCTTGTTATATTTCCTAAAATAACATTACTTTAATATATCTTGACAATTAAATCCATTTGTCTAATTTGGCAATCTTACATAATGAAGATCTTGCTAAGTGCTACTATTTATAACTGTTAGTTACTTTCCAAGTTTACAACCAAGTGAAATTTTATTAAAGGAAGGTGGGCAAACTTGAACCAAAACCTAAATTGCATATTTTTTCCTTCGTTTCATTTAAAACATGAAAACAAATAAAAAATAATAAAAAAAAAATAATAAAAAAAAAACTTACTATAACAAAATTTTTTAATATCACTTCCATGAAAATTACTATTCAATTAACTAAGACTTGTGAGAAATTTTAAGATTTTTTGCTTATTATTCATACAATTATTCCGATTTATAAACCATTCTAATTTTTTTTTAATGCAATAGAAACAAATGCCTAACTTTATGACTGAATATCAACACATGTACAAAAGGTTTTTTTATAACAAATTAAAAGTCTAAAATCTCACATTAACTATTCATTTAACTACGAACATCCAAGGAAGCACTTTCAAGCTAGTATGATTTATAACTCATCAAAACAACACAGGTAATGGAGGGGAAAAAACTGAATACATTTCAAAATTAATATCAAGTTATATTGCACGCAAGACAGGATCAGCTGAAATTTTCAGTGTAGCACCAAAATACCCTTGACACACAAATAAAACTAGTTTGTGATATGAGAATTATGCAATAATGATCTTAATCTGAGATAATTCAGCTTCTAAAAGTAAAATTGAGATTTATAATGTAATATTCAAGCCTGTATATGATTAATAGTTAATGATAGCAATGTTCTAAATTATACACTCTACAGACATTTGACATATAAGCAATATGTATGCAATATTAAGTAGTCTGCATAATGATAACTGAAAGTATGATTTCTGTAATTAGCTCTAAATTACTTACACTTATTACATAATCCCATGGTATATAAAACATTCATTACCAATTATGATACACACTGGAAAAAATTCTATCATGAGCTGCCCAGATAGGATTTATAAGTTGATAAATATACTCTGACAGTCAAATACCCCCAAAACAGTTAAATTTTATTAGTCCTTGACTTTTTGAAAATTTTAATCAATGCATTTTAGAACATTACTACAGTGTTCTTTCTGCATACAAACATATAAACATCTCAAAATTGTTTACTGTAGTAAAAATAGTCTATCCTGAGTGCTTTCAAAAAAGTACAAAAGTGTGTCAGGAAAAATGACAGTATGATTTATTTGCAATATTAAATAATGCCAAACAGTTTTTTGAAATATTTAGTTTAGGAATAAATTACACACTTAAATTTATTATAGTTAATCATATATTCATTACCTCAGAAATATAATGCATCATTAAATTTTTTTGCTAGGTATGAGTATGAAAACATTAAAGCTTATTGATTCATATACCTGAATAACTAAAAAAAAAAAAAAAAACTTAGTAATTAAAATAATATTTACAGAAAAGGCCATGCTTATAAAATGCATATCGACCAAGCTAAAAAATCTACGGCACTGTGGTATCCACTTAGAGCAAAGGCATGTTAAAAATATATTTATAAATATGACAAGTGCACATAATTTACTTCTCAAGGACAATGCCTATAAAATACACATTCTACAGTTAATAGGAATGGATAGCCAAAGGCTTTTTTGTTCTGTCAAGTGGTGCTTTGTACAGCTTGTTGCTGTTGAGTCGAATATCAGCTGACAAGATATTTTTACAGTCTAAACATAAAAATCCAAGAGTTAAAAAATACGTAGGATGTCTTATTTCAATGAAGTTAGACTGCATGCAAATAGATGGTCTTCAAAACAATAATGCTTATAAAACAAATTCTTCAACTTTTTTCCCCTGGTGATAATGGTGACTTCATTCCTTTAGAAAACACTTCAGTAGTTACATTTTTTTCTTCTTCTACTTCCCTATTTGAAAAGTGAGTGAAACAACTGAAGTAAAAATTCCATTTTCAAAAACTAATACCACAAAATCTAACTAACACAAACTACAAAACAAAGCTGGGGGAGGAAGAACTCTAGCTTTGTTTTAAAATTAATTCAAATTGAATTTAACAAAGATAGAAAAGTTTTTTTCCCTAGCTTTGTTAATTATAATTTATTACAATTATGTTGATTTTCAGAACAAAGGGAGCTGAAATTTAAATATATATATATATATATATAAATTAATGAGAATATGAGACATACATCACATGAACATACATTTTAAAATAAATTCTTAAAATTTATAGCGGTGGCACTTATCAAATTTAAACAACTTGTATTATAATATTCAACTTTTTTAGTTTGGTTGTATTTCAAGTGCTAATATCATGACATCTTTAGAAGCCAAACAGAATTAAATAGAAATAGACAGCAATTTATCATTTCCTTGAGACTGTCAGATAAAAGTTATTTCCTTTTGAATTAGCAGTTTAAAGGAATACACATATATTACAATAAAAGTATTAACAATTTAAAGTAATGTTACATTTGCTCTGAAAGAAAAACCTACTTCCTCTTAAGTTTATACGATTATACAGTTTTGGGTTTCATTTAAAAGCTAAAATTATAATATCCTCATATGCCAAGTAGGGTTAAACTGAACTAAGTAGATAAGATAATTCAGTTCTTTTTGATTAGAAAATGTTACATTCTTTAGAATTACCAATTATTTTACATTTCTTTTGAATTAATAAAAACTACTGCTTTCATTTGGGTGATTTACAATACATTATTCAATTTACGCAATTTAAGCAAAATTCACAAAATTCTTTAAGTCACATAAAATGATACACAACTATAACTTATTTTATAAACATTAAAAACAAGTTTTAAACCATACATTTGTTTTTGCTTAATTCGAATACTATCTGCTTACAATTAATTACGTAAATTACTCTCAATTCAGAAAAGAAATTGCAAAAGACAGTTAATTCTTTAATATTCTGGAACTTAAAGAATGATAAGAATGTGAAACTTAACCAATGAACTTAAATGTGAAAAAATAATATGGTCAAGTCTATTACAAAGATTAAAAGAAAAAGCTATGTATAAATGTTTAAAAGGAGAACATTTCTTTCGTATTTTTCATACTACATTTCTGAACAGATTGAAAAATACATGAAATTAATTACAATTTAGAAATATTCAGCATAATGGATCAAAATTTAGAGAAATAATATCTTCATATACCAAACTAAGGAAAATTTGATTATTTCCATACTAGATATCAGAGACAGATGTTTAATTTGATAATCTAAACTGAAACTGCCAAAAGAAAAAGAGCTTTATTTGAAAGGGCATGATTAGCATAAAATATTTTTTATAACATATAATGTCTCTTAGAAATCCACAAATTAAATGGCAACTAGCTTCAGTAATTTCATGAAATTTGTATTTCACTAAATTGTGAAGAGCTGTTTATTTAGATATTTTTGACAAATTTAATTACCACTGCCAAGTAAGTCTGAGCATTACATACATTTTTCTATTTTACTCACGCGATTAAATATAAATTTTCAATACACAAAAGTAGGTGTCATTGTTTCCCAGAAAGCAAAACAGGAGATTGTTGCCACTTCACTTATGAGAGTTTTGATTAATACTGCGATACCTTTTGATAACAACTTTCTTGTTTTTTTTGCCTTGATAAATTTTTTTTAATCCTGCACAATTTTATTCAAAAGCTCAAAATTTTATAATTTTTTTTAAGAGTTTGTGTCCTAAAAGTTATACATCTAATATCTGATGATCATTGAATTGTGAACCCAACTCCCCCATTCTAGGTAAAAGGTATTTGCAAGAGATTAAAAAGTAATCTAAGCATAAAATTTAGAATGCAAGTTTTTTTTTTTTTTTTTTTTTTTTTTTTTAAGGTTGCATGTAACTTTTCACATCAATTAGTCCTTAGAGAAATAATTTATTACCTTAACCGCAGTTGTTCCAGCATTGCAACAAGCTCATCTCTCTTCTCAACAATTTCTAACATTTCGGCCAGTATTTTCCTTTCTTCCATAATTTGTACTTCAGTCTTGTCTGAATCTAGGAAGAAATTCATTTCTATAAAAGGCCATGGCATACTTTGTATATATGATAAAAAGAGCACAGTATGAACCTTTAACAGATGATCTATTTATATTTAAATAATCCAGACTAATGTAGAATTAAATTACACACTGTCATATGTAACCAGCAACCAATGCTGTTAACTTATGCCACTTTCCTTTTTATATTTTCTTCAGACAATTTTATTTTCAGTTGATGGTGTATGATACTAATTTTTCCATTGTTTTGCAATAAACAAGCTTAAGTTTTAGATACTACTTAGTTATCCCACTCCTAAATAATTAAAAACTGACTGCATTCCTGTTAAAGATGGAGGAAAAAAGTATGGCAAAACGTTGAGTATGGCAAAGTTCAGTTCGGCTATCACCTAATAAGAATGCCTCACAGACAAAAGATATTTTTAAGAAACTGATTTGTATTACATAAGGGGGAAAAATTCAAGTAACCAGCATACTAAGTCACTAGAAATAAAACCTAAGTCAAAATATGGTTGTTTTATGATTTTAGTCACTTGGTTACAACAATTAAATAGAAAAAACTATTTATCACTTTCCAGCACGGTGTGGCCGGTTTGGACACCTAAAAAATTCCCCCTGTACACACAGAAAAATTGAATGAAAAAGGGATTTATAGGTTACTCTGAACTTTATTTATGCTAGATGGCAGCACAACAAAAACCAGTTCATATATTTTAGCAATGTTTAATTTTTAAAGACCCTCGTTTTTCAAAGAAATCTTCCAGATTTTTTTAGGATAAAAAATGAATTGTTTGAAAAGAAATTTCTATGTTATTTTCTAGCCTGTATGCTAATCTCCTTATTCTATATTAGTTTAAATTTTTACCATGAAATCTTGCTTAAAATTGAACAGCGAACATCAGGCTTGCCCAGAATGGGATCACTGAAACACCAGGATCAGACCAACAAAACAACTTTATCTTTGTTTCCCTGCAGATCTCCAGTCAGTTCATTCACAATAGAATGTTGAGCCCACATCTGTGTTTCATTTTCTGTTTTTCTCTTGCCTCCCCCTTGAGGTTTGATTATCAACTAAGAAATTGTTAGGGTGATTTTCTGAAGGTCAGGAGTAATTTTATCAGTTAGCAGTTTGGTGCTCCACTAGAGCAGTTCTCTTTTTCCCTTTTGCTTTCGTTCAAAGAAGTTTTGTTAGTGCTACATTTTGATAGTTTGAGTTGTAGACATTTATTTAATTTTTATTTTATACTTTCTATTTTCTAATTGTAGATATAATATTAATTTATTATTTTTTCTGATTTTTAATTATTTTGCAAATGGATTGGAGAGGGCTGACCATTTCTGAAGCACTGAAAGTGCTACTCAAATTACCTTCAGATAGTGAATCTGATATAGATCCTGGTACATGTGCAAAACATGCAATCTTGGGTTGTGCTTTTTCAAAGTTGAGGTCACTTTCTTCGAAAAGTATCACCATAAAAAAAAAAAAAAAAAAAAAAAAAAAAAAAAAAAAAAAAAAAAAAATTGACGGAACTTTAAATATGAAATGCAAATAATGTAAATATCATATACCTAAGTTACTTTTTTTCATTTACACTGTAATTATCATATAACCAAGAAGAGCCTTTTTAGGGGGTAGTAGAGTAGCAGGCCTCCTCATGGCATACCCTGTAAATGTAAATGCTATATCTGCTATGGTATTCAGAATCTAGTGTTTTTTTTAATCGTAGGCAAAATCTTTTACTCTATTACGCACTTCCCAGCAATGCTTGCTTTAGCACTCTTTTTGAAATTATTCATTCAGTGAGCCCACAACGGGCACACCCACAGAATTAAAACATTTAAGTACAATTTTTAGGAAATTTTACCTGTGAACTCCTCTAAGCCTGATTAGATCTCTCAGCCCACCATTTTTTTTTGTGGGGGGGGGGGCAAAATTCCAATTTTAAAAGATAGCATGCCAGAAAGGGTTAAAACTGTTCTACAAGCAATAGTAAATTTCATCACTGAAAACACTTTTAATATAATCGCTCAACTAAGCAAATATAAAAGAAAAAAATCAAAATTGCACATTTCTATGAATTTAGAGCTTTTTTTATTAATCGTCACATTGAATATTATTTAAAATTTTTCATTTTGTAACTGATCTCATCACATATTTACTATCAGAAAATGCACAAAACTCGTATAAATCGCAAACTGGCCATTTTTGAGTTTCTGAAAATACTCTTAGATTGACATCAAAACAAAAACATATATCCATGAAGTACAGTAACAAATTTTTAACCCTTTGACAAGTGAGTTATTAACTTACCGTAATTTCCGGAAGAAAGGCCGCATCAGCGTAAACGCCGCACTCGAGAAAAATGGCGGGAAAAAAATTAAAATTACACAGAAACGCCACAATAGATTAAATTGCGCGTGACATCGTCGTGGGCCGAATAGATGCAAAAACTCAACCTATCTTACTATCTGAATTAAAAAGATTTAGTAAATCCTGATCTAAGTCTTCCAGATCGTCACATTCATCCTCTTGGTTTACAGTCTCTTTATCTAAGGATATAATTTCAGCTTCTTTGAACCCTGCTATTATTGACGATGTTTCTACCAATTTCCAAGCACTTCCTGCCTACTTTGCAATTTCTTCAAAAGATGCTCTACGCATTTTACCGCTTTTGGTTTACGTATGCAATCCTTCACTCACCCTTCACTCCCACAGCTTTGAAGGATTTATTACCTGACAAATCTAATGGTTGTAAGATTTTTGTCAAACCACCAGGTATTATTGCTTCGGTCGTAGACAATTTTTCACATCTGGTTTTCACTGACTCAAAGAAATGATCACGCATGGAATCCATTATCAATAACCCCTTTGGTTGGAAAAAAGATCCCATACGACACTGCCAAACTTTTTGTAGCCACTCATATATGATTGTTTCGCACATCTAGCCGTTCTCGTTTGCATAAATAATTATGTCGTTAGGAAAATCTCCCTTCGGAATAGTCTTTCGTTTAAAAATGATTATCGGCTTTAGCTTGTCACCATTTGCGGCACAAGCTAACACATATGTAAATGACATTCTTTCATGCCCCGTCATAAACACAGATACAGTTTTTGCACCAGTTTCATCAACAGTTCTGTTTGCAAGAGAGTCGAAAGCTAACGGCGTTTCATCCATATTTATTATCTGTGACCGAAGAAGTTTTTTTTTTTGTCGATAATAGCTGTCACATATTTTAGAAAAGATGACTTTTTATCCTGCCGTTCCATTGGTAATTGTTACCCGACTGTTGTTCTAGTACGCACAGAAATATTTTTCTTTTCATAAATCTGCTACACCTCCTTTGAAATCATTTATGTTCATTCGTTTTGCTATAAATTTTGCTTGTAAGCGAATTTTTACATTTGAAATTGCCATTCCCTTTCCTCGTTGCTCCTTTATCCAGTTTGCAAGGTCGTCCTCTAGATTTGGCCACCTTACAGTACTTCTTTTGGCTCGTTTCTGTTGTGGCATATTTTTAAGAAGTTCTTTTTCAGTTCTCCAACGTCGAATACATCTGTCGTCCACTTCAAACTCTCGAGCTGCTGCTCGATTTCCAATTTGTTCAGCACATGAAATTACATTAAGCTTAAAACCAGCAGTATAGCTTCTGTGCCGTTTAGGGACATTTTCAAAAATTTTTCGCTCCCTTCTTACTTAAAAACTATCCAACAGGTACTTGTACCCAAACTGATGGGATCTGTATCTGGCAGAATGCCAAGAAAAATCCATTCATGCTGAAGGGGAGATATGTCAGAGTTCGTTATTGCGAGGCAGGTGGAGTCGTGTCCGCCTTTGAAAAAAATTGCAGAAAAGGCAGGGGTGGGGAGAGGATGGGTCCTGGAAGATTCATCGAATGGCAGAGGAGAGAGACTATTCAAACTGATGAGAATGTTGATTTGAAAGGGGGAAGAATGTTATTGTTCTGAGATCTCGTTTTGGGTGAATAAGGCATGTAGGTCCATTCAAGGGAAAGAATGTAAACAAAATAACATTCGCTAAAAGCAACTGAGTGGTCTTTTGTGTGGGAACAGCACCAGTCTATGCACAATGACAAGGCCATCCAAACTATATACATGACAAAGTACAAATTATGTACAATGACCATCATAGGAAATATTTTATTTTTAGTGCACCTAAACGTCGCATGGGTAGAAACGCCGCACCCGCTAAAAATTTAAGTTTTAAACACGTAAACGCCGCGGCGTTTCTTCCGGAAATTACGGTATTTAAAAAAAAATTTACCCCCTTTTCTATCCAAGTGAATAAAATATGTCATAAATGAGGTCTTAGGATTTTTTTTGACAAACGGTTTTCAAGCCATGGTGCCCCACAGGTAGCGATTAAAGCATTCTTTGCATAACCCAACATTACATATTGGGCAACTTTTCTGTATGTTCATTTATGCTCATTAACAAGCACAGCAACGTCTTGATTTTCCAACTATTGGAAGATGATCCCCAACATTCAAGAGATTCTAAGTACTTTTTAAAATTTTAGTGGGACATGTATGTCCTCTTAGTAGTCAAAGGGTTAAATAAAACCTAAGAATTTAATTATTAGTCTTTGGAAATTAACTATTTATATGGAACAAACACTGGAAATCTTGTTTGCAACAAAAAACAAATAACATGTAGAAACCATGCACACAAAACACATCCAAGTGTTTGAAAAGGCAGATCTAATTTACGAGCTGAAAATCTGAGATGGAGCCATACAGATGACCTCTATCTCAAGTTATGATATAGTCTGGTCATACAGATCCCAGATGTTGCATACAAGTGAGTTGACATATATGCAAGCGAGTTATATATTCTCACAAGGATTTGATGGGTTAAGTTCAGAACTATGATACATGACAATATATCTGCACTGCAAAAATAGCAATATGTGCTGCATACAAATTTTAAGTTTTCAGCAGTGTGCAATATGTTCCACAAACTTACAGACATGGTATTCTAACATCAAGTAAACAGGCAGATGCTTCTAATTCCTCCTTTCTCATAATATCTAATAACACTATCTTTTACAATGATTCTTATAACACTGTAGCTTTAAAAAAATACTGTTAATTTCAACTATATAAACTAAACAGTACTATCAAAAATTAATGCAAGAATTAAACAAAAGTAATCTGAGAACTGTTCAAACATTAAATGCATACAGACAGTATGGGTGATGGTTATGCGGTAAAAATATGAATAAGAAGTTTCGTACATAAACACTAGGTAACAATGGTTCAATCCATTGGATGGCAGAAAATTAATCTCAATTACCATCACCAGATTTCAAGAATTTCACAAGACCTTGCTTTACCTCAATGGGAAGAAATACAGTGATAAAAAATCTGATGTGTACACCACATGACTTCCTTGTACGGAATATTAAATTATACACATTTTTTCTTGCATTTCATTTAAACTTATTGGATTGAATTAAATCTACTTCGCTGACAGCGCATAAACACAATAGAATAAATGCATTCTTTAAAATTCACTCTAGTATTTGTTTACCATAGCGACACTCTGGCGCTAGATTCACGTAACAGTATTATATTTCGTTCATATTATAACTCATAATGCACAAAATTTATGTAATTTAAAGAATTGAACTATCTAATCGTTGCCACATGTTCTATTCAAATACTATAATAAAGCTAGAACAATGTATAAAGGAAATTAAGCAAACAAAACAAAAAAACAGTTTTTCACGAACAATTGAGTATTTCTCATTCAATTAATTCAGTTCTCACTTCGCGAGAAGGCAAAAATACATAAAAACTCAAAATATCTACATTAAAAATTACGAAGTAAATCTTAAACACTTATTTCCTCGAAAAAATTCCAGAAAGGATTAAGCATGATTTAATTGGCAATAATAAATGAAGGCGTTATCTTTGTTGTTGCGAAGCTACGTTTCTCTAGATTGGCAACAAATCCACTAGTCTGCTGTTTCAAATGTAAACAAACAATGGCCGCCAACAAGAAAAGGTTGGTGCGGCTGATTGCAACCAAAATACGAGGTGCACATCTACATATTATAGCAGTCCTATATACAAAATTTCAATTCAACATTCTGAGGCCACTCGGTTTTGAGTTATGTGAGATACGTTCGTACAGACGCCACAAAAAATTCTCTTCAGAATTCATTTTAAAGCAGTTTTATAATTTTTTTGGAGGAAAAGAGTCTTTTATTCTGTCCTTACGTACAGATATCACACAAAAACTTCGTTAAATAGCATTCGATAGCAGTCAAAATGGATATTTTTGTTGAAATATGCTGCCTGAAACTTTTCGCAATTACAATACTTCCTTTTTACTTCATACAAGGAAGTAAAAAATAGTTGAATGCTGCTGCTAGATGCTATCCAGTGAAAAGACAGGGATATTCTATACAGGAAGCAGTACATCAAATCTTAATGAAAATGTGTGATTTTGAATTGTTTCATACAGTCATGAATTATAAGTTGCAACTACAAGAAGATGTGTTTTAAAGTATGCTATAAATCATGGATCAGGAATAATCCATTAATATGGAATTTTGTTTTAAGTTGGACAAAAGTGATGAAAAACACATGAAATATTAAAATTAGTTTATGTTAACACTTTGAGTGATCATAAAAATGAGTTGCAAGTGATTTATGAGACTGCTTGTTTTATATATATATATAATTTTTACACTGAATCAATATGAAGCAATCTCATAAACCACTTGTAATTAGTATATTTGTATACTATAATAAAAAGAATTAAGAAAAATCTTGAAAAATAAACACTATCTAAACCAAAGGAATAATTGCAATTTAAAAGCAAAAATATATTGTAATGAAATAATATGAAATACAAAAATTAGAACCTTCCAAAGTATTACAAAAATAAAAAAAAAAAAAAAAAAAAAAAAAGTGAAGCAGTAAAAACAAAATTAGAACTTTTGGAGATTTATTAGAATGGGAAATTTAATTATTTTTGTCCATCCCTCTGAAGAAAGCGAAAATAGTTCAATCTGACTGTTCTAACATTTTGCCCATTTCACTTAGACTATTCCATTTTTGTTGAAGTTTATGGGCACAGTCTGCATCCATTCTTCATTTTATTTTTGTATCTTTACTACACCTTAAATCATATACAGAGGAAAGAGATGACACATTAGCTCACTCACAAAGCAAGCAAAGCAGGAAAATGTCTGATGCATTCAAAAGAAGCCTGGGAAAGAGTCAAAAGTTTATGATTTCCATTGTTAGTTTCAATTTTTGAATCATCATAATTAGCTAATTAATATAGCCTTAAAATATTGGCCAGTTGAGTTTCAGTTTTCAAAATTATTTACATTACCAGCATTATTGGTATGTAAATGATTTTGAAAACATTTGTCATTTGATGGTGACAATTAATTTTGAAAAGATGAAGTTCAGATATTTTTATTATAAACAATTTTTAAACTATTTTTAGAACAGAAAGGGGAAATAAGTATATAACATTGTGCAAAATCAGCTTATAGTGTTAACCCTTATTCATAACAATACTTTGTGTCACACATTGCTTCTATAGCAATTTCTATTGAATAGAACGTTCCCATAGCTCTTCATCCACCTTATTCATTGCACCTACCCAATACAACTTATAGAGTTTAAAAAAAAAAATTAAGATAGCCATGAAAAGCAAAATTTTAACCACTCAAGACACCGAAGCAGCCATAATAACTTACTCATAGCTGCTAACCATAAAATCTGAGAAAGTGGGAGAATTTTCATATTGTGTGGCAACATGATATTAAGAGAAAGGTGCCAAAATTGTCATAAATTCCCTTTATAACATGATTTAGATTACTGAACTATTTATAATATAATTCTGGTACAAAACATCAATATTCAATCAAATATTCTAAATTTTATGCTTTTTGGCTAACTTTATTTCATTTTCTAATTTGCTTAAACTTTTATACTGACAATATCTTTAATAGAGAAGAAAACATTTTCTTTATCACAGTAATTTAAGCCATGAAAACAAAATTAACAAGTGCCAAATAATAAAATTAATTATTTAATAATTAACTGCAAATATAAAACATTGCGGCATGTGTAAACAAATTCAGCCCAAAAAATAATAATAATTTCATATTGGTTATGTTTATGATCAACATGAAATTCAATGTCTTTGCCCTATATATTGCATGGTAATATTGACCATTCAGGTTTGTTCTGTAGTTTTACAGGTGGAAAGACAAAGCTACATCAGTAACAGTGAAGTAAGTAATTAAAATTAAAAAATGGGGACATTTAGTGAGCTACCCAGAGATCACAAGATGTGTTGAAAAACCAGCAGAGTTGGCACCTATAAACTAACTGCTTTAGGAAGTGATAAACACGATGTGATTTTAGGAAGTGAAACATGACGGGTATCCTGAAAAGGATTAATGATAAGACATTTTTTAATATTTAAACATGCATTATGCATTTTTGGTCACATCATAATTGTTAAAAAACTGCATAAAAAAGGAAAGCCATGGTTTACAGAATTTGTGGCAGAGCCTCAGGTCAAATCACAGTCAATCATCAAATTTATTAAAATATTATGCAGCAGGATAATTCAGTGGACTTGAAATGAGATAGCACAAATAAGGTTCTGAAACCTGCTGCACAATAAATGAACTAAATACACAAATGTTACAATATGAGAAAAATTTCAGACATTTCTTCGCATTTTATCACTTGATTCATTTTGATAATACTTAATAGTAATATGTTTATAAAATGATGGCATTTTTTTATGATCTTATATATTATTAATACTTTAACAATAAAATAATAAAACAAATGAAACTGAGTAGCACATAATACTATACATAAATTTTATCTCCCTTTTTTGAAATGGGGGGAGGTAGAAAAAGAAGACCACTGTTAAAATTACCAAGTGCATAAATTTGCTTTTTGAATAATTCATAATAAACAAACCTTATTTTTAGAATAAATATAATTATATTTTTCATATGTCATTCAAGGACAAATTTGAAGTTCAAAAGACAAGCATCTACTTTGAAAGAATATTCTAGGTTTCTTTGGTAACTTACTTTGTGCCAATCTTTCGCGTAAAGTCTGCTGCAATTTACTGTGGCGATCTTCTAATTCCAAATCTTTCAACCTAAATAGGAAATATATAAAATAACCTATTATAGAAAAAAGTCTTAAGAAATGCTAGATCTTACTTGTTCCTTTGCCTGATTTTATTGTTTTAATTATCTAAAGACATTTTATTTTATTATCTTAAATGCAAAAACCACATGCCTAATAACAAGTTCTTGTTCTTCTCTCGTCAACTTATTTTTTGAATGAATAAGTGTATACCATTTTTGCATCAATTCTGCTTCTTCTTTACTGTCACTACCTGCAAGAATAAACATACATATATCAAAATGAGATCAGTTGAAAGGATTTAAAATATTAAAATAAATATTTAATAATATTGAACATGAAACAAACATTTATTAAAGTTCAATATAATAAGTAAATAATATGCATACTACAAATAAAAAACCTCCATATCACTGAAGGCATCAAGTATGCTTCAGAACAACATTACTATGACAGCATGAGAGATTCTGTTCTTAATTGAAAAGATAAAATATAACAATAACGGTGACAGTAGATGGGAAACAACAGCGAACAACAATCGGATCACAAGAAGGTGCAAAATCTCATTTGGATAAATTTCATAGCAAAAAAATTTCTATTATCTTTATATACATTGAATAAAGCTCTGATTTATTTCCCTCAAGAAATTAAGAAATAATTTAAAATTATTTCTGCTTGACATTATTTTAAAAAGGGAAAAAATACTAATGTAATACTTTACTTGGGGGACTGAATGCACAGTCTTTTCCAACATCTAGTACCACTAAAAATATTATAAAGTGAGAAGCAGAAAAATGTGCCAATAAAACCAGTATTTCAAGAATCAACCAAAAAAGATGAAAGTTAAACATAGAGATTCCAATTTTAATAAGGCACTAAAAAAGGCAAAATTTTGGTTTATCCAAAGAAGCAAATCTTCATATTAATATTTTAAATGATGTATATGAGTTAATTTAAATACATAAAGATAATAAAAGAAACTGAATAGTAAAAATCAAAAGTTTTAAGCACGCCAATGATTATTCCTGAAGTAAAGCTAAAGCTATTTATTAGTTCAAAGGTGATTTGTCCCTGAAGGACTATTGTTTTTGTTTTGCGATTTTTGCGTTGAATTATTATAAATGTCCGTTTCACTTTTCAAACTGTTGCCACCAAATGTTAAAGTCCTGTATTATAACTGAAGAAATTAAATAATGAAAAATCTGCATAAATGTATCTATATTTCTCATATTGTAATAAAACAATGGTACATAGAGCCATCGAATTTTGAATGACGCAATCCTCCTACGAATATGGACAAGTGGAAGACCAAATTTGGAATTAGTTTTAATATCGATTTCATATTATGTAAAACTTAGCGAATTTTTGAGTAACAAACGCAATGATTTAAAAGCGAGCAATGGCAATGCTCTATGGGGGGAAAAAAACCTTTTTATCTCCAGCGCGCGGAACTGTGTATCGGAAACTCTAAAGCTATGCTCATTTTAAAATGTATTTCGCAACGTTGCTATTGAACTGAATTTTATGGTTTAAATGCAAGAACATGATATTTAATAAATAAAAGTAACACACAAAATGTTAAAAAAATGGCCCTTCGGACGTAATTTAAAATCTGAAACCTTTCAGATTTTTTTTTTTTTTACTATATTTATATCGGTTTTCAAACCATCTTGTCACAATATGTACTAAGAATGTTACTAAGAATTTTAGTACCAAGGTAATTTTGGCAGTTTTCTGAATCCTGGTGAATTTAGTTATTCAGTTACCAGAATTTAGTTAGAATGCCATCTTAATTATTTAAGATTACTGTTTGACTTTATGACAATTTCATTGATGGTATATAGTTTATCATGACAAAACTTGGCTGACTTTAGTTGTTTGCATAAACAGTAAATAAATCGTGACTATGGAAATGGGAATCCAGCTTCTTCTAAGCGAATTGCCTAGCCTTTTTGTTACCACTGCCAGTGTTTTTCAACTTTGCACTTTTAATACGGTCAAAAGTCTTTAATCCGGACTCGTCAGGACTTCGGCGATTCCGGATTATAGATCATCAGTTTAAATCTGGTAAGATGGCATGCAGAAATTATAAAATTAAAAATATGAAACCATAATTTATGAAATAAAGAGCAATTAAGATTTAAAGAGTATCAAAATTTACAAAATTTACAAAAAAAAAAAAAAAAAAAAAAAAAAAAAAAAGCTTAATATTTATTTGTTTACTTTATTAAACATTTCTTTCAACACACGCATGCATAAAGCATACATTACACATAGTCGAAATTAGAAAATTGCAACCAGAAAACTATTTGACTTGTATTCGTGATATTTATAATGACGAGGAATTTGATTTAAATCATATCAAAGACGGAGTACATCGAGATGAAATACTTCATTTAGTAAGGAATTATAAGCCGAATAAAATAAAAACATCTGCCCCGCCGATAACGATAGTGCTGACAGATGAACTTCCAGTTCATAGCGCACCGTGACGTCCCCCCCCGTGCCGGCAGAGCAGCGTGAAATTGATAAACAGATTTCGGAATGGTTAGAGAAACAAAGGATATGCCTTTATCCATTTTCTGCAACAATTCCACTTTTTGTTTGATCGACATCGAAACATGCTTTCGTTTTGTAGATCCTTTGGCAGCTCCAGAATCGGAAATTCTTTTTGACATAATCGAAAGTTCAAGCTTACTTTTATAAAATTGCTCTAACAGTCTGAAAATAATACACCAGATCCAATTAGAAGATTAAGGAGCAGCACAATCTTCAAAATTAACTGAAATAGATAATTAGATAATTTTAGCTTAATAATTTATACTGTCCGTTATACATTAAACGCGCAAGCGCAAGTGTATTACGCGCAAGCGTAAATGCACATGCGCATGCGTAAAGGTATTATGCGCATGCATCAACGCATATTGCGTTGACGCATGCGCAGAAAGTTTGTAGCTTTGAGGTCTGGATTATAGATCATTCCGTATTAAAGACTTTTGACTGTATATGTGTTCTTCAGTGATACATAACATCACTGCAGGGAGATTAGGACATTAATGACTTTTGCTAATATTTTAGGAGTCCGCAGTTTCTGTTTAGTTATTTCGTCACACCCAAAAATCCATAAAGAAAATAATAAGTGCAAAACACGGCAAAATTAATATAAAAATTCAACATATGCTCATCCTTGTTTTAATGGACAAACTTTGAATATAAAGGGCAGACATTTATTGGCAAGTTATTCTTTTTTGATGTCAACCAAAGTTTCTCAGCACCAGTCAACAACGCAGAAATGTTAAAAATATTAATGCTACTGGTAGTGTTCTTTTGATATAGAAATTATGAAAATGCAAAGTATGACAGTATTACCCAAAAAGATAGGTAGTTATGTTTAGACAAGGATGGTTATTTGCCAACGGATAGATAAATGTTGGATTTCTTATGATAAACTAGGTCCTGTATAAATTACAGAAAAAAAAAAAAAAAAAAAAAAAAACAACTATGTAACCAGCCTTCTCTAGGAATTGAACTGAAACTATAAATCAGGGTTCGTACACACTTCTACATATGGAAATTAAGTACTTTTAAGGTCCATCAATGAAAAAAATTAAGAACCTATCAAGCACATAAGAGCTGAATAAACTTGTAGAGACGTTAGGATATTTGGAAGCAGGAGAGATGAAAAATATGCAATGATCTCACCGGTGCTCGAATCACCAACCTCTCAAATTTACGTCAAGCGTGCTGATCACTACATACGAAGGCATGCTAAAAAGGCAGGAGAAATACCTCATATACTCTCCCTTTTAAAGGGTGACTGGGGTTTTGGGGGACCCAACTCCTGATAGTGAAGAATCATTATTCACCACTTTTTAGTTCGGGTGCCACTGTAGAGACATTAAGTTATTTGGAAGCAGGAGAAATGAAAAATGTGCAATGCCCTTGCCGGGACTCGAACCACGGACCTCTCGAATTCACGTCAAGCGTTCTGATCACTACACTGCGAAGGCATGAGAAATACCTCATAAACTAAAACAAATACCTACCCCTGAACTTCACTTTGTAATACCACTTTTGTAATTTGAAAGAATAAATTAAATAAGTAGGATACATGATTTTTAAACATAATCTAATATTTAATTTAATTACAAAACAAAGTCAAGAATAAAATTAACTTCAAAATTTTTTCAAGCAATTAGCATTAAATTATATATAAATATTTATATTTTATGCTTATAATAGTCCCACACATTTTAAAGAAGATTAGTGGCTTTCTATTTAAATTGTATGGACTGCTTGCTTCATATTGATTTTTTCTTTTATGCCTCATTTTGTCATGTACTCACTGAATTTAGAGGTATGTGCAAATTTTTTGTCAAGCAGCAAAAGTTAAACTCTGAAGTAAAATAATAATCAGCATGCCTCATAACAGAATCTTGGCTGTTGCCACTGCAGTTGCTTGCTTAGAGACAAGGAACTGCTGATTAGAGGTGTAAACGTGTGATGTTAGTAAGTGTTGAAATTTAGTTGCACTTTGTCTGACTCAATTAGAGTCAAAAGTTTCGTGTAGATCTGCCGAAGTTGTAACCCAGCTTATTTAATATAAAGTACCAATAAGCTATTGAAGTACCAGACATGATAGGCTATTTTGTATTACTGTAAGTCTCATTAGCTGCAAGGAATAAATTTTTATGTTAATTTTTACATTTTTGTGTCATATCTTGCATTCACAAGAAGGATGAAGGAAAAAAGATAACTCACCCTAACATGCAGAGATAAGGGTGAGTAGTTAGTTACAAATAATTAAATTACATAGTTAGATACCCTTAGTCATAATAGATTTACACGACTATAATTACAATTTTTTTTTAAAAATTTGTATAATATATCCATTAAAAAAGCACTAAGAACATTTTACAGCAATTATAATTTATGATAAGGATTCTAAGATGATATTATTATAACTTTACATTAAAAACTACAAAAAATTTATATTTTCTAGCAATAACAAACAACAAAATGTTTATGCATCTTTTTAACTTGAAAAATTTCCAAATATTTTAGCTAAACACATCCATTATGTGTTAATACCATGGAAACCCATTTCATTTCATCACATTTTTCTGGAAGCTGCGAGTCTATAAATCTTGCCTTTTGTCATGCAAGGTCTAAAATCCAGAAGAAAATTTATCTCTATTTTTTGGTTCACTATGGCTGATGTATTGCACTAAGGTAGTATTTTGTTTTGAAAGCATAATGGCTCATAACATAATCTAGGCAACATTTTAAATTTAGAAATATCCCTCATTTGGTGTTTGCTACCTCAATACACTATTAACAAGCATGGGATTATCCTGATCAGAAAGGAAATCAATCTTCTGATTTTAACTATGTATTTTTTAGTATATTTAAGATATTTATTTTTCATACGACAAACAAAAATCTATTTTAGAGTTTAACATTACAGCAAATTTGGCATTAAATATGAAAAACAAGAAAGAATATGACTCGAGAAAAAGCATTAGAATTAGAAACTTCAAGTTATATAAAAGCAGTCTCCTAACCATGTCCTTCTCTCCTAAACATCTTCTCAACCTCTACTCCCTGTTGTTCTAATTCTTTCTGTTTGATTTCTAACTCCTCGAGTCTGCGCTGAATTTCTTGAGCGCTACGTAGACGTTTTAGCACCTGTTGTCGCTGGACTTTTTGTACCATCCTTAAGGTTTTATTGTCCTTCTCAGTGGAATTCTAAAGAAAAGAGTCAAAACATGAAAAGAAGTTGTAAAGTAATAATAGCAAATCATTACTTTTTCAGGGTTCATAGCCACATTTTAGTTAAAAAAATAAGCACCTATAAGCACTTTTTAAGAAAAAAATTAAGCACCTGTCTAATTACATTATACACAACTGCATAACCTTAAAAATTAGACTTGTATTTTAAAATATGAGAAATGCAGCATTTATTAAGAGAGAATAAGCATTACCCTCAACCATGGAAAATAATTACTTTTTTTTTTTTTAAATTTTAAATAACAGTTCAATTTACAGAACTAGTTTACAATGAGAGAAAAAAAAACTATGCAGAAGTAAACTATATTACAAGATTTAATGATGAAATTTCAGTTCAAAATAGAGAAAATAAATAATAATAAGGCATATTTATTGTATTTGCTTGGAACCTAATAATAAATACAATTTATTTTCCCACTCATATTGATATTTAAATAATTTAAATCTAAATTCTGAACATTTTCTAAATTTTCATTGTATATCAGTTTTCCCTTAACAGATATTGCAAGCAAAGTAATTTAAGTAAAAAAGAGGAACATTTCTGAAATCAGAAGACAGAAATTTGCTTCATGCAGCCATCCTTTAACAGTAAAAGCTTAACTAACCCACATACTTGGAAATTGGCGAATATTCGGACAGTCGAGCTTAACTTGAAAAAGAGGAGCAGAGGGGGGGGGGTAGACTGTAGCCGCTCTTTAGATTTTTCCGCTAAATAAATGCTTTTGACATTTCGATATGTGCATCATACAAAAATAAACCAATGGAACTGAAAAATATTCTGCTTAGCAAGCACAGTAAAACTCTTTTAAGTGTTCATAAACAAATCTCGGACAGAACATCAAAATTAATAATTATCTCTGCAAAATATTGCAAACGTTATTGTGCAATATGTGCGTCATTCTTCCCTACGTGATATTATGCAATTGGAATCAACTGCTGCCGGTATTGGGAGAATAAAGGACTAAATAACATTGGTGTTTCTCATTCTAATTTTCAACAGACGACGTTAAATTTCCGGAATAGAATCATTCTTTGCTTGGTAGACTGCAGAACTTTTAGTCCTATTTAATCCAGATTGAAAAGTGACTTAAAAAAAAAAAAAAAAAAAAAAAGAGGTCCGTTGCTTGTTTTGCAGCGAACTGTAACAGTTCCAATATTCGAGATTTTGCGAAGAAAGGGGAGAATCACCCAATCTTTGTACTGTATAATGTATTGGCCAAAAAAATGAAATTATTTTGACTATTTGATTACTTTCCCTTTATTTAAGCCATTCCCAATATTATTCCTTAGAAAGCTGTGTTAAAACACAACCATTTTTGGAAGTTTACTATACTTCAGCAGTTACTGAAACTATGTTATTATAAACATTCATACATATGCTCATAATATAAGCATAATGATCATAATAAACACGAATATGAACTGACCAAGCGGAACAAGAATGCAAATTATTAAGATCTTGATAGAAATTCAAACATGTGTAGTATTTGGGTGGAAGGAAAAGAATGCCGAATTTACCGGAATTTTCTACTGCTTTCGCAATTCTTTGACCAATAGAACAACAGGCACCTGTCTGTACTCTTCGTGCACCAAAGGTTATGTTAATGCAGAGAAAGGGGATGAAAAGCTATTTCCGGGAGTATGATTTACCTACGTTCATCACATATAAGACAAAGTTGTTTGTTTATTTTCATATTAGGAAGAAAAGTTGTTTACTTTAGTTTCCGGCTTTGGTACTGGGGAAAAATAGTGCGTTTCATTAAAAAAAAAAAAAAAACTAAAAACAAAAAAATAAGCACTAAAAACAAAACAAATAATAATAAATGTTTTAAAAAAAGTAAGCACCTATAAGGGTCCTTTATATTTTATTTTCAAATATAAGGACTTATAAGCACTTATACGAACCCTGTTTTTAGATAGTTTATGATTGGCAGAGCCGGATTTAGACTTGATAAGGCTCAAAGCTGTTTGGGAAATGGGGCCCTTTATAAGTTCAGATATGATTTTTGGATACCTAGAGGGATTTTTTGGGAGACCCCAAGAAAGTGGGGTCCTAAGTTTTAGCTTGTGCAGCTTATACATAAATGCTGCACTGATGATAGTTTAATTTCATATTATGTTTATTATTCTTTATTTTGGCCCTGATTTATTTTTACAGCGAACGAATATTACTTTGAATGTTTATATTTGCCAATCAGTTATGAGAAAAATAAATAAACAAAAAATTCCCACTTTTATAAATAATGTTAATTACATTCATTATGTCACTTAGGAAAATTAGTAATACTCAGTTAAATTAACTTTATCACAACACAGAAAATTATAATTTTCATTACATGCCTAATAATAAAAAACATGATTCTGTTTATGAAAATTAAAATAAATCTGAATATGCATCATTATTAATAATGCACTAAGACAGTTTTTATGTTGCGCCAAGCAGAAATATTATTCACATATACTTTATTACTAAAAAATAAATAACCAATCAATAAAAAGAATAAATTAAAAAAACCTCTTCTCCCCCCTTCCCCCAAAAGAGGATTAGAAATAGTTCATTTGTTTTATTTCTGACTTGTTCATTTTTTCTTCACATAGGGTTGGCTGAATAAAACAGTAGTTACAAAAGTCTTATTCTGATAACTTGAGCACTATGTGGGCAATTAACTGAAAAATATAAACGAATTTTTTGTTATAATTTTATCTTATTTTCAGATCTTCCTAGTATCTAATGAAATCTGTTATTATAAAACAAGTTATTTGATAATCTAGGCTCTAGCATATACTTAAAAAGTTTTAATCAATTTTATATATATATATATATTTAAAATAATCCTAGCAAATAAATATTATCAAGTCTGTTTAAAATGAAAAATCTAATTTTTCACCAATTTAAAAGAATGAACAACTTTTTAAATAAATACCCCCTCTCAAGACTGCAAAACTATTTATTTTTTAATAATATTTCCTTCTGCTTATGTTAATGATTATACATAAAAACTCAATCCGGATTAAACACATAACTTCTTGAATAACATTTAGAACAGGAAAAATTAATAACACAAGCATTTGCAATGTAAAATTACATATATACCTTATCATTTTTTTCAGTATTTGGAATGTGACCAGCTTTGCTACCTTGAGTTTCATCTTCATCACTAAAGCTATCTTCTGTAAAATGAATAAATATATATATAAAATAAATATAAATACATACAAAAAGTGGAATATATATGTCTGACAGTCTATATGTGTATATTATCTGCTAAAATTCTACTCTTCATGTTTTTAAATGAGTGTTGATGAATGTACTACATACAATGATTTTTTCTTTTTCCTTCAGAAGCGGCACCTAAGTATTTATCACATTTAGCACAACTAATCCGGAGTGTAGCAATATATGCATTTGTAAATTAAATTAAAACATACTAAATTGTATGTGTAGCAAAATATTTCCTTACTGTAATGAAAGAAAACACTATTTTACATGTTTGAAAATTTTCACAGAATTAAGTTATTAAAGATAGAAAACTTATTTCAAAATTTAGATATATAGAAATTTTAGTTACAAACAGTAGATAATTTGAGAAATCATTTTCTCTATATTAAAAATTTTAAATTATTTTTTACTTAAAACTTTAATTCATGTTTTCCAAAAAATAATTTAATATATGAGACATATTCAAAATGCTTTGAAAATTCACTAATGAAAATGGGCAAAAAAGAGATACTTTTTGGGTCCTTTTGAAGCATTCAACAAATTATTTTATGAAGTATGGGATTTTAAAACAATTGAATTAATGGTCTTCTCTAATGCTTTTTACAATTTGTTATGCCCTGCTAAGGCCCTGTTTAATAACGAAAATTCTTTTTCTCTCAGCAACTCCTTTATTAAAATGGGAGGGAGATGTAGGAGTCCAAAGCAAACGAATAGGATGGAACACTGTAGTTAACTGGTACTTTATTTTGTTGAAGAAATTCCTCATTCTTGTAATTGTGGTTCCACATTCTTGTTTTCATGGTGCAAGATTAGATATGGGTCTATGTTTAGATAACTTATTAAGAATTGTGGGCAAGAAACACTTACATGTAACATTACTAGATTACTGAACTTCACTGTCTTCAGTTTCATAGTTTAAAAAAAAAGTTACTTCTTGAAATAAAAATGTGCAACTATTTTTAACACTATTTTTTAATCAGAAGAATTTTCACTGTGACAATGCCAAATCATCAATTGTTATCTGTCAAAAGTTGAAAGAAGATAATATTAAATATTTAATTTGCATAAAGTGAGAACATTTCTAAATTTTTCAGTGCCTTATATAATCTTAGCACAGAATACATACAAATAAGCAACCTTCTGGCATTCAAAATAATACATTGAACAACGATATGTACATGCAAACCAAAATAATTTTATACCAACATATTTGCATAGTGCAAAAGAAACTGAGAAACAAGAATGCTAAAACAAGCAATAAGCTAGACAACTATAGATTAAACTGCACGGGGGGGGGGGGAATACAAAATCCATTAAGAAAATTATTTTCTTAACAAATGAATTACAGCTGAAGAATATCCTAATCAGGTTGTGAATAATTAACAATTCTTATTTTTATGACTAATTCAAACCTCATTATTTTCCCGATGATGATAATATTGGCATTTCTATCAGATTCATCATGTTCATTTAAAAATTCCTTATATTCTAGAAAACTGACACACATCAATCTTAGTCATTAAACAAAAATACTGAATGCATCTTTCCATTTTGACTTTTTTTTTTAGTGACTGTATGTTTATTTTTGATATTCTTCATACATTAAATTTTTTGTAAAGATTTGTAAAGAAAATTTTTTGTAAAAATGCATCTGAAAGGATCAAATGTGTGAAAAAATAAAGGTACTTCTATGTTATAGCAGTCTTAGTGAGAAACTATAAGTGACACACTTGATAAGAAATAGACAACGGCCAACAGACACAAGCAATTTATTCATGTCTATGATTACCAATTTGTGTATGTGCATGAAGTTACTGTTTCTTCCACAAATATTTAATATGCTTATTTTCAATCTTCCATCTTACGAGTTCCTTCAGAATGGTGTAGCAAAACGCACAGGGTACGACTCACCATCACATGCAGTGTTACCTACTGAAGTTTACATTCATGCATCAAATTTATCATGATAATGCATAAGATACATCATTAGCAGCAACTGCTGGACAGAGGCCACCATGAAATGCTTTTTAAAAATAAATTTCAGGTGGGTTTCCATATGCTATTTATTTGAATAAATTGTTTACAAAACTGTGTTAAACAAAATAATAAATCCAGGTTTATTATAAATTGCTTCTCTATGTGCATATTAAATAAACTGTGTTCTGCAGACATGAAATAACATCCTAATGTCATCCTACAACATATTCTTCCAAGCATTCATCAGTTGTCGCTCCAGATCTGCGATATTTTGTGGTGCCCAAATCTGGTAGCCTAAAATGTATCAGACATGCTCGATTGGTGAAAGGTCTGGTGACCTTGCTGGCTAAGGAAGAGTATCAACCATATGGAGACATTACACAGATATGTGAGCAGTATGTGGCCTGGCATTATCTTGTTGGAAAATGGCCCCAGGATGACGTGCCATGAAAGGTAATGCAACCGGCCGCAGGATGGTATCAACATATTGTTGAGCTGTTAAAGATGTACGGAGGAAGACTAAAGATGACCTGCTGTCATAAGAAATAGCACCCCCACATAATCACACCAGGGGTTATGGGTGTATGCCATTGTAAAATAAAGGCTGATTGGGATCACTGGCTCCGTCTTCTCCAGACACGAACACGGTACTCATCTGCTTCAAGAGTGAAGAGGGATTCATCGTTGAACACTACACAATGCCAGTCTGATGGCAGCCATAATAATCGGCTGCAACACCACTCCAGACGACTCAGCTAATGTTGTGGGGTCAAAGGCAAACTTCTTAAAGGCCTCTGTGAGTGTAACCCCACCTCAAACAAGCATCGTGAGACGGTGGACAGTACCATGGGAGGTATAGACATGGCTGTAGTGGGTTGAATAGTCGACATGGTGAACAATCATCCTATCTTGGTTCCCATTTATGATCTTTGGCCTTCCAGAGCCTTCATTTCGTTAGCAATTTTCTTGTAACAACCACTGCTGCCAACATCTTTGCACAGCAGTGACACTGCAGGTGGCGACCTATTGCTTGGTATGACCACCCAGCTTCACGCAACCCTACAATGCGACCACGTTCGAAGTCGTTTAGTTGCCTGTAAGGTCTTCGACATCATCATAATGGCAAGTTGTTTCTTTACAGAATTACGATGGCAGCAACAAAAAAGATAAATTTTCCGCCTCTGTTACTGACTTATATTTTGTGAACTGTGCACTAGAAATGCACGCTATGATCGTAATTCATGTTCGATCAAGATGCTTTTGCATACCAAATTTCGTCACGATCGCAAAAGTCCTTCTTGGTGCTTCGACTTTTTTCAAAAGAGTGTATAAATAACTATAGCAAACATCACTTTCTCACCAAGGCTGAAATATGATAACTCTTACTTCTTATCAAAGTTACTTTCTGAAAAGAAGAATGGAATTTAAAATGGACTTGAATTATTAAACTATAACAAAGCACAGTACAGTTTCTAAAAACTTTCTAAAATTGGCTGACCTGTATTTTGTCATAACACCCCCCCAAAAAAAAAAAACCTTATGTAGCAGAAAATAAACCCAGGGCAAACTATTAGTGATTCATAGCCTTGTTTACTTAGCCACTTCTCAGCAGAATTATCAATAACAGGAAAATATGCACAAAAGTAGCATTACATAAGATGTCTAAACATTATTCACTCGATAACAGATTAAACTACATTTGCAAAAACATTTTTCAAGGAATATTATAAAACCAGGTCACTACATTCATTGACACAAGCAATGTCCTAATTCCAGTGCATAAAGTTCTTTTCTTCAAAAAGCCTCTAGACAGACATCATAGACACGTTTAACAATCACAAGTCTACTCATGAATTCATTTTCCACAAGTTTCAAATTATGCCCAGTCTGATAAATTTCAGTCTCCTTAAACTTACACTTTATTTAATTCATAATTTTTCCTGCTTACATAGTAGTTCCTTAGCGTAGCAACGCTCCATCTAAATGGAAAATCAAACTAGGCAATACTCATATAATTTACAGGAAAAATACAGGTTACTTCAAGTTGGGAAATAATAAATTTTTTTTAAGCAAATGGAACTTTTCTTTTTTCTTGGATGGAGAAGGGCATCATCTTATCTCAAGGATACTGAAAGAAGTCGCTACTATTGTCCCAGACTTATCCATGAATGATGCAATTGCAGCATACAATGCCCAATAATTAATAAGGTAGTAAAAATCTTTTTAAAGTAATCCACTTTATTTATAAAAGCAGCTGGTAGCAGCAACTGGAAAGATATAAATGCTATTTATATTAATGGTTTTAACCAGAATGGAAGGGAATGATGTCCTTCTGTGAAATATTGTTAAGGACAAAGAAACCCTATTTTTTAGACTCAAATTTTTCAAATATGTATTTCAAGGTATGCCATTCACAAATTCCCTAACATGCATTAAAAGGAATTAATGCCATTTGGACCGTAACTTGTTTTGTTATAGCAAAAAGGTATCATCGAATGACACATGGCTTCATAATTCTGAACCCTAATGAAAAAAATGTTTGGATTAAGTACTTTACCTGTATCATAGAGTTTGATATCCAATACCATAGTCATTATACCAGTTATGAAACTATTTTAGTTCTGAAAGATTAATTTATCAGTAGTAACCCATGGCATGGCTGTAGAGATCATGTGATCATAGCATCATATGGCTATAACACCACCTCATAACCTACAGCTTTGAGATCAGCAGGTACAAGGATTATTTTTTTAAACTGCCTGCTTCAAAAGACAACATAACACAATATGAGAAGCTTTCTTCAGCAACTGTTGTGTATTTCAGTCAATGTATGTAATGAAAGCACCTTTTGCTCAACTTTAAGAAACAAACCATAATATAATTAATTAATAGTTTAACCAAATTAAAGGTGTTCGCTAATATTTAACAAGGAATGGTTTTTACTCCTGGCTTTGTTACAGTTTCCTAAATTTATTCTAAAAAATCATGACTTTAAATAAGTAACAAATGGAAATAAGACATAAGTCAGGAAATATCTTTTCAAATTTCAGCATATACAGCAACAGAGTCTTGCTTTTAACAAATTAATAACAGATGAATATTTTATTTATCATTTTTCTGCAACCATCACACAGTAAGGGCTTTTTGGCTACCTGTATATTATTAAAGAAAATGCTTCAAATCATGCAAATATATTTATGGATTTACATAAACATTCATGCATTTTTGAATAAGTGGAACAAAAATCACATAAAATAATCTCTTATTTGTGCAACTAATTACCAATGCTATCTTTTACACTCATAAAAAAGTAATGAAAACCATACTTAAAGAAAGTAAATTAAATTTCATATAGTTTTCCATTATGACTTAAGCTCTTATGTTTTAAGAGCTTTATGTTAAAAAATATTTACAAACAGAAACATGTATTTGAAAAAACTTAAGGGGAAAAAGAAAAAGTTCTTTACACAATTTTCTAAATGTGTAATGCCATAAAATCTGCAAAGATGCTGACACAAAATAGCCACATCATCAGCATAGTAAGCACACTTATAACTGAAATGGCTTACCAGATGCTTTGGGAGCTAGTCCATTTTCCAGTTTTGGAATAGGTAAATGAACAGGAAATGAAGAAATTGTAGTTTCTGGATTTCTATAAACAGTATATTTAGGAATGATTTTAGCTTGTTGCTCATTAAATGAAACATTTGATGTGTCCTCTTGTGAGTTTTCTGTAGGTGAAACAAAAGAAGAATCTGCTGGCACTGGCTTGGCTTTAGGCTTTGAAATCTTTTCTTTAGATTTGGCAAGTTTCAAATGAGAAAACGGCTTAGATTTTGAGTTGATTCGGTTACAAATATCAGTTGCAGCAGCAGAAGAAAAATCTTTCTCAGAATCTTTAGATTTCTGTTTTACTTTTTCTCTTGATACATGAGTTTTTCCAAAATTTAATATTGAAAATATAGATTTTTTACCATTGGATTTGGATTTATCATCATCACCAGAACTTTCTGCACGAGATGCTTTACTCTTTCCTTTGTTGGTAATTTTTGAGTCAAAAGTTCCTTCAGAAGTAAAAATTTCTGGACTAGTTTCTGATGAGCTACTTTGGTTGGAATGTTTAGAAGGTTGCAGCATCTCTTTACTTTTACTTAAATTACCTTCAGACTCATAATCACCTAATTTTTTACTGACAACCACCTCCTTCATAACTGAATCCAATAAACAGATGGGAACAGCCATATCTACAGGCTGAGGAATATTGGTATTTGAAGGGATCTCTCGATCACAATTGGATGGAAGAATTTTTTCCTTTGATTGTGCAGGTTGATGACTAGATGCAAGTGCTAGTTCAGGATTCTTTGTTTTCAAATATAGGCTATTTTTTTTAAACATATTAAATGTTTCTTCAATTCCAGAGCTCTTGGTTTGGCAAAAATTACTAATTATTTCATCTTCAAGTTCATCATCTTGATCACAAAACTCATCACTACAAAGTTCATCATAGTTTATGGAATTTAAAGATAACTGACGTGTATATTTTTTCCTGTAATTGTTAGGACTCAATCCTAATTCTTCATCACTTTTTAATCTTGCTCGAGCTCTTGCTTCTTGGCGAGCCTTTTCCTGGTCAACTGTACTTTGCAAACGAAGATACCTTTCTTCGTCAATTAAATCAGGAGTCTTCCATGCCGGTGCAGAAGAAGAATTACTGTCTGATATTTTTCTATTACTTGTTTTAGGTGTTAAAAAAACATCACAGGCATCTAGAGGTTCTACAGGAGAAATAAGTTTCTCTTCATCTGCAAAAGGAAGACCTTGAATATCTTCATGCACACTTTTTCTTTTTTCTCTTTTCTGTTTGAGTTTAATAATGTCCATATCACATTTTGGTCTCATTTTTGTGGGAAATTTATTTTCGAATAAAGGTCTTGCTTGAGCATATGTATAGGGAGAAACCAAATCATTGCATGATTCTGGAGCAGAAAAGGAAACAGATGAATGTTTGTGACTTGAAATTTTTGACTTGCTTATACCTATATCAACTGATTTATTTGAGTTTTCAGTAGCTACAGCACTACTTTTCAAACGTGATGGAGATAATTTATCATCAGCTACAGATGAAGTTTCTAAAACTAGACGATTCTGTTCAATCTCAGTTTTAGCATAATATTTGTCTGAGGGGTAAGATAATTCGCTTTTCTTGTTAATGAGATTCTGCTTGATTTGGTTTTCATATTCAATTCTATATTCATCTAATTCATCTTCACTTTTACTCAGAGATGGACTTTCAGTAAAAAGTTTCCTTCTGATGCCATCAGCAGTTTCAGTTTTATTACATTCATCCAATTTGTCATTACTTTTATTGAGAGAAGAAAATGGCTGTTTTTGAAGATTGATGTCCAAAGATCGCAAATAGATAGTATCACAAAATAAACTTTTGGGCCTTACTTTTTCAGCAAAACTACCACTGTAACCTTTATATTTGGTATCTGCCTTTGGACTAATGCTTTCAGGTGTTTCTTGTTTCAGCTTATTTTGTAACTCTGAAACATCTGAATCAATCACATTCATTTCTGAAGTTGAAAAACTCAAATTTTCTTTAACAGACTCATGTTCAGAAAATTTCTCATATCTGATTTCTGCAGAAAGTTCAGGTCGATCAGGAGTCATAGTTCTTTTTGGCACAGGTGCAGAATGTTTGGCATCTTCAAATGAGTAAAAATTGTATGGTGTGGATGTCTGAAATGTAGAATCATGTTTTAAGTAGCTTGAGCTATTTGGCAAACTTTGAGATAAAGAACTGCAAAGTTGATAGTCTTTTGTGTTTTGAAACTCAGAGGCTTTATCACTACATATTTCAAAGGACAATTTTTTAATTTCTTTGCCACTTTTGGTAACTTTTGCTTCTTGGTTATTATTTTCAGTCCCCTCAATTTGAATTGCCTGAACAACATCAGCATGATAAACACCATCTGTAGTATGTTCCATTTTCTTCTCAATTTCATCAACAGATATACAGCTTTCTTCTTCACCATAACAATGAGGTAATGATATACTATTGTCACTATCCCAGTTGAAGCCTTCACCTTCACAAGAAAACCTTCGTTTCTTTCTTAGTGTAACATTAGCAGAATCAAACTTTGCATTTTCAGGAGAGTTATCAAGATATTCATCAAACATGGAAATTTCTTTAATGTCTTCCATACTGTCATCAAGAAATATGCTCTTAGCAATGACTTCAGTATCTTCAGTCTCAATTTGAAAATCAAATTTTTCCTCAACATCCTTCTCTTTCAATAAATTAGAATCGAGAGGAGATGAACTGATATAATCTTCATTGGGGACGGAGTGGTTATGATCATCATCTCCTTTGCTATGGATAACTAGATCAGAATCATTTGTTTGATCTCTTGGTGATACAACTGTAAATCTGTCTTCTGTATTTAAATCTGAAGGAGAACACAAGTCAATTATTTCTACATTATTACTTACAGGTGTTATAATAGTATGAACTTCAACTTTATCATTTGGCTGATCAGATGAAGTAAGATCTATTAATTTTACTTTTGCTTCCTCAGATGTTGATGAACTAAGTATCATCCAGGAGTCACTGAAAGAAGTTTTCTCTGAGTGTTGTGTGGAGTCTGAAAATGCACAACTGCTTGGTTCAAAAATTTTTAAGCCATATAAATGCATACTTGACTTTTGTTTTGAAATAGAATCTTTTGCAGCATTTAAAACATCAGATGCTATTTCTTTTGCTAGAGAATTAATGCCAGATGATACACTCAAGTCAGATGAACTTTCTTCAGTGGCAAGAGGGGCTATAACTTTCTCTTTAACTTGGCAAGTAATCTCCTCTTCTGTCCTAAATTGAGAGTAATCAAGGTTCTTAGCTGTATCATTTTGATTGGACTTACCGTCAGCATCTTTATAAGATGATGCATCATAATTTTCAGCTACAGCCATGCTTGTGTCAGGATGTTTAGGAACTGACTCCACAATTTCAACAGATAATTCCAATTCATTGTTCTGCGCCGAGTCACTTAAAATTACAACTGAATCATCACAGAGGGGATTGTTCTGCGTCGAGTCATTTAAAATCACAACTGAATCATCACAGAGGGGAGTGTCATGAACACTGTTATCATTCTGCAAAGATGGAGTCTCCACCTCCCATTCCTGATCCAAATCAATATCCTGAGGAGGAGACTCGTGGATTATTATTTTAGGAATAAGTGGAGGAGGCAGAAGTGCTTTAGGTTCTGATTCTGAATCAACTTCAGTGCCAGATTCTGATTCTCCTTCTGAATCCTCATCTTCATCAGTTTCCTCTTCTGAAATATCAGATTCAGAGCTTGTTTCATCTATGAAATGAAAAAGAAAAGAAGATAAAAACAATGCATTCTCTGTAACTGAGTACATAATACAGTAATGGTGCATTTATTTGCAAAAACTACCAGTTACATGTACGGTAAATCATATTAATGAGATATGTTATTAAGAAATGTCTATATATATTATAAATGACTTGTTTCATCCTTACCTATTGTGCAATGAATTTTTATAATTTAAACAGTAAATTAAAAATTTCCTACCCTAAGATTCACAAGTCTTATTAATTGCAATTCACAAGGCTGCATGGTTCTCAATGAAATTCTTGCACCCAAATTTTAATTTCCTAGATTTTCCATGATCAAACAGAATGATTTTCCTAATCAACTGCGATGAACTGATTACAAGATTAAGTAAATATTTTTATACATGTATTATGAAATACAATAATTAAAAAATTAATATTTTTATAGAAATACTATAAAACACAATGAAATCACTAAACATGTTATGAAAATTTTATCTATCTTACTCATTATTGTAAAGCAAATGAAATAAATATAAGAAACATGCATCTAAGCCATTAAAAAAACATGCAAAATTGGGGAAAGGAGGGAAAAAAAAATTAGCAACAGAGTACATTTATAGTAAATACTACTCTTATAATATTATCCCCCTTGGGAAAAAATTGAACAGCTCAGTAAATGCACTGGACTGAAAAGCACATTTAATTCAGTTATTTATCATAATTTAAAGAAAAACAAAGAGTACAGCAACTGTCTACTTTTAAGAGCAGAATTGCATACTGGTGCAATGACTTTTAAATTAAAATGAATAGTGTAACTTTTCCCCCATTTTCAAATATATTTACATTTTTGACACACATTATAAAGAAAACCCTAAAGTATTAACATATATAACAAACAAGATCTGTCTAAGATGTTTCTTACAATTCAACCCTGAGCCCAGTCCAAAATTGTGAAATATAATAAAAAAATATAGACTATTAAAAACACTACCAATGACATAAATGCTAGAAATTTATTAATTACTTATGAAGGCTTCAAAATGAGAAATTTTACTTAAGATCATTTTATAATACACCAGATTATTAAACTAGTTATAACATAATTTTAAATTAAAACATATTAATTTAACTCACCGAGTGGCATGACTACTTTAGCTGTTCATGACATTTTTTGTTATTAGATAAACAATGGTTTATAATTTAAACTGTTTTATTTTCTTACTTTCTTTAATGATGTAACTATCACTTTAATGAATGGAAGTTTAAAAATTCTGATGTGGACATCACATGACTTCCTTGTACAGCCTATTAAATTATATGCATTTTTTAAAAAAGTCTTCGCTGATCTGGCGGAATTGGTGACCGTCATCAAAAGCGCAGGCTTCCAACTTACTCATCAGGTCAAACAGTTATCGCAAATAAATCAAGAGAACATTCCCTCCAAATCTTCTAACAATGGGGAAAAATAGGAATTTAAAAGCGCCTTTAAACGTGATGATATGGAATGCTTGTAGCATTCATGGAAAATTATTGGAACTCGCCGTTTTTATTCAAAACAATGATGTTGACATTGCTATGGTAACAGAGACACATGCAAATCCTGGTATTAGTATTAACATAATGAATTTCAGATGCTATCGCACTCAGTCACCATGGTGGTGGTGGTGGGTAGTGATATACATAAAGAACTCTCTCCAATCATGCAAGATTAAGCAGTACAGAAATAATGGACAAGAGTATGTCACTGTCTCCGTGTTTCTTCAAGGTTATGGAAACACTTATTTCACAGCCTTCTATAACCCACCCAGATACCCTTTAGAAGCTGAATTATTAAAGGACATCTTATTCACAAATCTTCCTGTTATATTAGCAGGTGATTTTAATGCGAAACATGAGGAATGGAACTGTCGTAAAACAAACCCAAATGGAGAACAATTCTTTGAATTTATAAACAACGAACCTGTTTATTTCTTTGCACCTGAGGAATACACTTATCTTGCACACGACCGGAACAGAGGGGACATTCTTGATCTACTACTTACTTCCTCTTCAATTCCAGTATATCTTGAAGTTGTTAATGATCTAAGCTCGGATCATTTACCTGTAATGGCCACACTTGGAATCCTAAAAGACAAAACAACGCAGGAGAAAAAGATTACAGACTGGAAGCAGTATAATCTGATCTTAAGTAATAGTACCTTCCTGAACACAGCTTTAAGAACCAAGCAGGACATAGACTTAGCTGTGCACCTGTTTACTAACAGTATCATTAATGCAGTCAATACTGCCACCAAGAACATTTCCATTAAACAGACATCTGGAAAACTTACCCCCCCCACATCAAAGATAAAATCAAAGAAAGAAGCCTGGAATCGAACATGGAACCCGAGTACTAAAACGGAAATTAATAGACTGAATCGTGACATCAAACAATCAATTCATCAGCTCAGAAATGACCTTTGGGATGAAAAAAATCATGAATTTTAATGAACCAGACAATGCGTTCTGGTCTTTTGTCAGAAATGTAAAAGGAAAGGCTGTAGCGAACAAACCACTTCACTTCAATAATAGCGTGGCTTTCACTAATAAAGAAAAAGAAACACCTTTGCAGAACATTTTGAAAATCAGTTTAAACCGAACGAGCAGCGTCCTTGTGACATAGACTTCGCTTATGATGTAAGATACTGCATTAATGACTGGTTTACCTCACAGGAGGACTTAGAGGACAATCTGGAACTCACCTCTCCACATGAAATCCAAGAAATCATAAGGAAACTAAAAAACAGGAAAGCACCGGTCTATGATGCAATAACCAACCTAGCGATCAAGAACTTACCGAAAAATTGTATCGCAAGGTATGCCAGTATTTTAAATGCTTGCTTAACTATCAGATACTTTCCGCTTGCCTGGAAAAGAGCCAAAATAGTTGTCTTACCTAAGGCCGGCAAGGTTACCACTTGCCCAGAAGGATTTAGACCTATCAGTTTGCTTCCCATTTTGGGGAAAATTTTTGAATGCATCATTTATCATAGAATCCATCCATACTTAGAGAAACTACCAGAACAGTTTGGTTTCCGAAAAACCCTTTCCACCACGAAACAATTGGTCAGACTTTCTGAGTTCATCGGCAGTGCGTTACATAACAGACAAAATGTGGCTTTACTCATGCTAGACGTGGCCAAAGCCTTTGACCGCGTCTGGCATGAGAGTCTAATTTTCAAGCTCCGTTCCCTTGGCTTCACCAAAACTTTAACGTGTCTCATCTACTCATCCCTGAAAGGCAGAAGTTTTCATGTTTCTATTGGAAATGAGATTTCTGAAGTCAAACGAATTCACGCTGGCGTCCCGCAAGGGTCAATTTTAGGTCCGATCTTATATCTCTTCTTTGTGACTTTCCTAAAACAGGCTTTAACTACAATTACTTCATTGGCTGTTATGCAGATGATACGGCGCTTGCTGTAAAATCTATGTGTCCTAATCAAGCTGTCAGGAAACTTCAACAAGTCATGCCGCAAATAGAATTTTGGTGTACCAAATGGCGTATTTCAATTAACGCAGATAAATCCAAACTGCTCATTATCCAAAAGAAGAAACTCTGCCACTGAAATCAGCAGAAAAGCTTAAGCTATTTTTGACACAGAAGTTCCTAGAGTACGCAAGGCGAATTACCTTGGCGTTGTTATTATTAATGATAAATTCTTCCTGGAAGGATCATCTGACTCATGTCAAGGGGAAAAACACTAGGAGTCATTCAGAGTCTTAACCCAATTCTTATTAACGAGCACTCTAAACTGGACTTAAGAAGAAAACGGCACTTATACATCTCTGTTATACGGCCAATCTTCACGTATGCATTCCCCTGCGTGGGCATCAGTTAGAGACAGGGACATATCTAAATTACAAATTACACAGAACAAGCTTGCTGCGCACCTTCACGAATGCGCATTATTTCGTATCTAAATAAGACTTTACACAAGGATTTGAAAATTGAAACTGTCATAGAGCATCTTCATCGCTTAAACTCCAGCTTTTTCCAGAAAGCAGTTACATGCCATCACATGTCAAAATTACATGTATTTGACTACATTCCACTACCGGAAGATAAAGAGTTACGACCGCTGGCAGTCCACCTAGCCAGAGATCTGAACTTTTTTACATAAAGTAGAATATTCCTGTATATAGTTGTATATATTGTTTATAGCCTTTATGAATACTTTTCTCATTATTTCATTGAAACTTTTATATGATATCTGATCTTGCAAACTGCCCTTTTCTCATTGTAACTCTATATCTGTAAATGTATGCTTTTGAGAAACTCGTTCTGTCATGTAGTATATTCTCACAGTAGCTTATCTAAAAACTCATGATTGCTTTACCTTGTACTGCTCCGTCTGTGGGGCGTCTTCTTGTCTGGCCTAATTCCTAGGCTTGCGGCATCTTGCTCGCCCCCCTTCTGCCTCACCTCATTCTCTTAACTCCTACCACGTCAGACTTCCTACCGTCATGTGCCTACTGGCTCTCCTCATGAGCTGGAAACAGCCATACTTGTTCGGATCGGATCGATCACTACATTTCACTTAAACTTATTTCCTCGAATTTCAATACAGATATAATTCTCATTCAGTCAATTCATTTCTCACTTTGTGGCAAAGCAAAAATACATAAAAACTCAAAACATCTTTGCTAGAAATTGCAAAATACAGAAAAACATCCCTTTTTGGGGTAGCCGATTGCAACCAAAAAAGGAGGTGCACAACTACATATTATAGCAATCCCATATACAAAATTTCAATATTCTGAGACTACTTACTCTTTTTTGAGTTATGCGAGGTACATATGTATGTACAGATGCCACAAAAAATCTCTTCTGAATCCATTTTACAATCTGTTTTGAGAAAAACAGCCCTTTATTTTGTCTGTACATACAGATGTCACACAAACACATTGTTCAAATGCATATTCAAAAGTGGTCAAAATGGATATTTTCCCTGAAATACGATACCCGAAATTTTTCACGATTACAATACTTTCTTCAATACTACAATATTTCCTTTAGTGTTGACTTCACTTTGCATGAATACTGTTTAATTTATTCTAAATTTTAATTTAATTTTATGTTTTTTGGCTAACATTATTTGATTTTGTAATATCTTAAAAAACTTTATTCAGAAGAACACCCAAATAGAAAAGAAAAGCTTTTTAAACATGATAAAATTAGTAATCACTGAAATTTAATTAATTAAATTAAAATTAATAATAGTGTGAATTGAAAATGATCATGTGGCTAATTTTAGGGAAGGATAATTTAAAGATTCAAAACAAAATTAAATACTAATATTAACTACTAAGAATTTAACATTAGTTAACTCTTCAGGAAATTCTTTATAAATTTGTATAATGGATTAAAAACAAATCAGGTCAAATGAGAATTAGTAAGTAAAATTAGGGGTGGGAAAATCATAAAGGAAAAAATAAAATTTGCAAACTCTGATGGCTTGCATTACCTTTTTCATTGATTCTGAGTGATCAACAATTTTTCTAAAATTACTGACTTCTTAATTACTGCATACATTTATTTCTTCTTCAGGATGGTTGGTTCTCAGACAATTATTGGACAGATCAGCCACTCTGTTCTTTCCAGCTTATTGAGATGCAACTGTTTGGATGTTACCTATAACACTTCCTATTTACAATTAAATAATCTTTGGTTTTAAGAAATGTGGGATCAGTCTTATTTCCACTTCTTCAGAAGGTCCTGGATAAATAACAGTAATTATAGATTTTGTGTTTCCTCCTCCTCTCACACATGGCTTTCTCATGTTCTTTGTCGAGGAAATATATTTATTTTACTAATGTCACTGATCATTACCTTTGTTTATGCATAGTTCCTCCCCTTTGGTATGTGTTTACATGAGATTAAAATGTGTAAGGAATTTTCTCTTCCCTCACTCTGCAACTAGAAGTATGCCCAGCTACCGGTGGAATGTCCAAAGTTTGAATTTTGACATTCATCACCACCAACATTTGGCAACTTTTGTTCCCTCCTACCCAGTTGCAACTTACACAAAGATGAATGTAAGGAAATTTCTCCTTCCTTACAGTGTGTCTTCATGATGCAATTGGAAGCATGTCTAACTAGCATCAGGAGGGCCATAGTTCAAATCCCAAGAAGCACTGTTTTTTTAATATTTAAACTGATAAAACCTAATGATTCTACAAACAGAACACAAAATAATTTTAGCTCTACACTTCATTTATGATGCAATTCATGTGAGTTTTGTAATGCACAATCATGTCACTTATATGGGACATTTCTCAATTATGCATTCATTATATAAGACATTTGTTATACAGGGCTGTTATACTTTGATTAATAGCAAAGTCCATTAAAAGCTTATTTATACACATTTAAAAAAAGAATTTAATTAGAACTAATTATATTAATAATTTACTATTACTTTTAAAAATTTTAACATTACATAAAATATACTCATCTATTAACACATTGACTGCCCAACATGAGATAACTCGTATTAGCGCTTTCTTTAGGACGCCCAATAAGAGTTATCTCGTAGTTTCTTGACTTGCCACTTTTGCGCCGCTACGAGTTACTCGCTTAGCGCTTGTTTTAGCTGTACCGAGGTGACAAATCGAAGCATGTCTGTACAAATCAACTCGTAGTGGGCTTCTGCGAACAGCTTTGTCTAACAAAAGCTGACTACGAGATAATTTGTAGGGCCCCTTAAAAAAAAAAAAAAAAAATCCTGTAAACTTTTTAATGATTGATACGAATCATAATTACTATTTTCAATAATATAATATGATTAAATCGATTTGGCTTCTTTGACCGGAATACAAAAAGTGCTGTGTCAATCAATGTGATAAAGAGTGCTCCATTTTGAGTAGAAAAAAAAAAAACTCAATCGTATTTATTAATCACAAATTAAAAATTGCTTAGCACAAAGTCCAGTTTTTTTTAGTTGCTTATGACATTAAGCTACAAACATCAGTTCTGCAATAGGTAATTTAGTTCCTTCCAAAACAACCCACTGAAATAAAAGCAATTAGACAAACAATTTCCTAAAATCAGTAATGCATCAAATTTTTAGAAGAATGGTGATTCATAATAAATGTATTGCCAAAATGCAGAATTTCTATGCACTTGATTTAAGTACTGATTAAACTATTATGGAAGAAACTTAATGGTGTATTGAAAAGATAAACAATAAACACTAAACATGTAGCACAGGTCAAATTGCAAGAAACAAAATTTATTAATAATACTTTCCAAATGGTAAATTATCAAAATATTAATATTTGTAACACATAAAACACAAATAATTTCAAAAATGAATATCAAAGACTACTTTTATTACAAAATTAAATATTTAAGAAATACATACAAGTATGTAATGATTGTTAAATTAAGTTCCCATTATAAGCTTTAATGATTTTGGGGTTATTTGTAAGAAGTATATACTACCTTCAGAAATTCTGTTTATAGACTTTAGATCGATTACAGGTACTTGTACAGTGAACTCATCCTTTGCATCTACTGATAATAGCTTTTCTTCCTCTTTTTCAGCTTGATCACACTCTAAAATTAATAAAATAAATTATTTTTTTATATTCTACATAAATTTTACAGAACTCATAAATAAAAGATGAGGGGAAAAACCTATCAAAATACTTGAAATAACATCACTAATCATAACACTTTTTGCTATAAAATTGCTTGCTTCAGTAAATAATCCATCATTTAGCAGCAAGTAAATGTCTGACGAATTATTTACATAAATTTACAGTAGCTATTAAAAGTATTCAATAAAAAGAAATTAATTCAATGGCTGGATTTACTAATTAAGACAGACTAGAACGTGGTTCTTATGCATTTTCCATTATTATAAAGTTTGGGGAATATCCTGCCAGTCATGTCTATCATTCTAGCTGAAGTTTGGAAGGAGCAGATAGCCTTTAATTTAGTTATATCAACAGATGAATACAGCAAACAATATGTTATAAAAAACATACACAGACGTAAACTCAAATATCCACTAAGCAGCCAGGAAGAAGTCTGAAAGCACAAATTAATCTTAATTTAGTGAGTGTGTGTGATTATGGCAAAGCCTCGAGCGCTATCTGCCTAAGGGGAGGGATGCCTTCGTGGAGGACTTTCTAAGGGGAACTGGCTCGTATACATGTTACATATGGGGAACACCCCGAAAACGCCCCCCCATGCAGCCAGCCTGTTCGTGGGATTTGAACCTCGCACCGAACTACTAGTGTTCAGCGACTTTACCACTTGGCAGCTGGTGGGCCTTCTTTATTTAGTTAGACAGACATTAGTTAAAGATATAACGTATAAGAAAATTAAATAAATACAGAAGAGCAGAAATCCGCAATGCTTATGACCAGAGGTCGTGTGAATTTTAGGATTCTGCGGATTACAAGACAGAAAAGATAATCATAATATCCAAACTAAAAGTACAAAATAAATAAGGCATATAAATTATTAAGATACATTTAATTGAATTATATACATTATTGCAACAATATACATATACATTAATTTATTTTATGTGTTAAATTATTATTATTATATATATATGTATTTGTTATATTGTATTATTCATTTATTAGTGATTACAGGGATATTTAAAAGCATTAAAGACATATAAAAATCAGGGATATTAATAAAGTACTAAATTTTTCATTTTCTTTTTTACATGTTTCAAACATTTTCTTATAAAATTTTGTTTTAGAAAGTTTAGGATACTCCGGAGTAAATTTTTTTTTTGGTAAATTATATAGAGTCATAATCTCTTGCTCTGTGATGCAGCTCTGTTCTAAAATTTTGAGGTATTTTTCATCATGTTCCAAACCCTCATTTAAAGAAAGATATTTTTTCACTCCTATCAAATTCACTATCTGTGGCTGTATCAGAATCATTTTCTTGTGGCGGCGAGTTCAAAACGGAGCCAATGATTTCAACATAGGTCATCTGATATGGCAGTGCTGTCTCATCTGAACACATCATCTATTCAATGATACCTTCCTCTTGCAAAGCCTCCTCATTTATTCCTTCTTTTGAATGTAAAGGCAATTCTCTTGCTTTAAATCTTGCTGCAATGACCCTAAAACCAGAAAATTCCCTGACATTACTCTCAGTTTCAATACACAGAGAAGATGGCAATATATTGCACTCTACTTATGTTGTTTGCGAAAGAGAATTCCATGATTCAGCTAACAAATAAATGCAATCTTTGAAGGTGAATTTTTTTTTTAATAATCACAAAATGAAATAGAATGGTCACTTGAAAGAATTTTTTTCAGAAACTCTGATTTATAGTGGTATTTAATACTGTGTATTATGGCCTGGTCCATTGGTTGGATCAATGATGTAGTACTTGGGGGCAAAAAATGGGCCTCGACATTATCACATATTAAAATGATTACATCTGGATGTGCAAAGAAATGTCTAACAATAGTAAAATCTTGCAATTTGATGGTAACTCCACACTGTTACACTGCCTTTTAGCTTCTTTAATGAAATGCTCCATGAACCATCCAGTCATAAGTTGTTTTGTTAACTAGGAATTTTTATTGTTCCTGTAAATCACAGGTAAGGATTTTACTCCTTTCAGAGTTCTGGGATTGGTGCTTTTAACCACTACCAATGGTTTGCATTTGTAAGTTCCAGCTGCATTGCTGCATAGTAAAATAGTCACTTTTTCTTTAGTAACTTTCACCCCAGATGGGGCACTTTCTTTGCTTGTCACAAATGTCATTCTTGGCAAATATCACCAAAAAAGTTCACCCTCATCCATATTAGAAACCTGTTCTGGGCTAACATGTTCTTCTGCCACTAACACAGAAAATTCACCAATAAATTCCTGTGCAGCATCTTTATCTGCTGAAACGTTTTCCCCCACATGCTTTCAGATAACGTATACCGCGTCTCTGCTTAAATCTGTTCAGCCAACCACTGCTGAAATCACACGGCTCCTCTGTTTTTAAATTAGCACGAAACTGTTTTCCCTTTATTCTCAGGAATGGTCCTGAAATTGATACCCTATCACTCTGCCGCTGCCGGAACCAGTTGTACAAGACAGCATGAAGATTTGTCAATTCCGCCTCATGCAAAGATTTTTGGTTTTGGATTCCAGTGTTACAGTTGCTGTAAAATTTCAACAGCATTTCTTTGTTTTTCCATATATCATATATAGTCTGTGTCACAATTCCATATGATTCTACTATAAACTGAGGAGTAGTACCTGCTATTCACCTTTTGCAAAATTTCCATTTTCCGCACTCAATGCAATGTGTTTACATTTATCAGCATCGCAATCAGAAAAATCACGAATGCCTTCATCTGTATTTTAAAAGCGCTGAAATTAAAATTTTTTAAATTTATCCACAAAATATCTGGATAAAAAACACAAAATGGCAACATTAATCAATCTCATGAAATAACAAAGCTCAGAAAATACAAGAATGTGAATTGTGAACTTGAAAGAAAAGTTGAGTGAATCGTCTGCTTTTTTTTACCTCGATGCAGATTGCAAGGAAAAAACTTTTAACATAATGTCGATAATTGGGTATTTCCATTATGACTCATTATCACTTGGTAATTATGACGTCATTATTTGGAAAGTATTTTTTCTTTAGCTTTTTGTTCTCCATGTTGCGCTTTCTGGAAGCTATAAATTGAATGCTTATATTTTGAGAGGCAACATGGATTTCAAGAGTTGGCAAATTTTTGGTATTTGACTTAAGCCTTGAAAGCAATTGACAAACAAATGAAATTTGTGGCAATTATTCTGATGATCAAAAATCCCTAATACCATTTAAGACTCGCAAAAAGTACAGCATACTGGCTTGTTTAGAACTGAGTAACATGAAGTAAAAATCTCATAAGCATGTCTAATGTCAGACTTATAAATTATTGGCATTAAATCATTCTGTCTGATGATAGCTTCAATTTGTCAGAAATGGCTGATGGGAAAATATCTTAAGTACTTTCAAGTGGATTAAAAAGTGCAATTTTTCCAATTTCCTGAAAAAAGTATACCTACGTTAAAGTTTTTGATTAATCAATCAATATTAATCACAAACATGTAATAAAATTTAACAGTTATAGTTGCATGTCAAAGTCTTAATTAGTAATTTTATTACATAAAAATTAACAATGCATCAATTATGCAAAAAAAGTTCATATGAGATGGAAAAAAATCCCTAACTTTTAATTGCAGCATTTTTGGGTGCTCAACTTTTTTGAATGACATACAGATAAAAACAGATATGATTTTCATTACACAGCTGAACTCAAGCACATTAACAAGTACTGCTTTCATTACGAAGCATCAATAACAAAAATTTAAAATGACTACCGTATTTCCTCGTGTATTTTTCCCATAGCACCCTCCCCGTAGATCAATAGTTACTAGTAGTTTATTTATATATACTTTTTATTTGTTATTTTCTTACTGTTCTTATTAACTTCATAAATAATATTTATGAAGAAACTACTGATAACAGTTAAGCTACTAGGGGAAATATGTGAGGAAATACAGAACATAGAAGTAAATATCAAGAAATAGTGCAAAATTACAGTACTTTAAATTTTTAACTTACCTTCTTCACTGCTGTCAAGGCTGTATTCTGCATTACTATCAACATCATCACTTGTATCCTCACTACCAATTTCAGTGTCAGATCCTTCATCATCAGCAGAAGACGATACAGTATCAATCAAAGAATGCTCAGCTGAATATTTTCGGTTCCAGGTTTCAGCTAATTTCCTGGTTTCATCTGCAGTTAAAGATCTTTCCAATTCTTCAGCAAATGCTTCTTCATCAGATTCTGTATCAGTGCTAAAATATTTAAAATAATGACTGATAAACATTACAAACACATGGCTGAATTTAAACATACGAAACCTTACTTAATGCATTTAATTAATCCATCGATTAACATGCACTAAACAAAATCATATGGTAAACAATAAGAATTATAATTCATGCATCAGTTACAATAAATTTTAAGGATTAGTAACATACAAGTTAACAAAACTGCTCATTTTTTTATTTAATATTTTCCTCTCTCTCTTTTTTTTTTTTTTTTTTTTTTTTTAACAAAAAAGTCTGAAGAATGCTAGAATTTCCATTTTCTCAGACTACTTGTAATAATTGGCAAGTGCTTTATTAAGATCAGGAGAGACATTAAACCTCTGCACCAGAATTAACGAACAAAATATTCATAATATAGTAAGGCGACTGAAAACTAGTTTAAGTTTTTTAGCAGCAAGATTCCTGGCTCTTAATATGCTCTTATTGCTTCCATGGCTTAACTTTCTTCTCCCTACAAGCTTGCTTTTCTGACTGAAAGAGATCATTTTTACTTAACTATTTTAAATAGAAATGGAATAAGGTTTTTAAAATTTTCATTACACATTTTATTAAGTTTTCAATTAGCTAATTCTTGGTAAAGTTCCTACATTATAATGCTATGGCTAGGGAAGATTGATGACAAATAATTTTGTGTAAATCATGTTAACTAGTCACTGGCTCCCCCCGCAAAAAAAAAACTGCACAACTTAGCTAACTGATTATTCCAGATATCAAATTTGTATTAAATTCTCCTGCAGTTAAAGTTTTCCCTTTTTCTCAAACAGTATAAATATATTTCTCATATACTAAGAATAAATTTTAACAATTTATGTGTAGAAAAAAGTAAAAAGATATATAAACAAATACTGCAGAGGAAAGAATCTCACACACAAAAAATAATTACACTGGGCATTTTAAATGCGAATAAAATGACATACTAAGCAATATAATGCATGCATTGAAAATGTACTATTCCCTACTTCAACATTTGGGTATATTTTCAACTACAAAAAAGTTTAATTTTGTTGCAAACTTTAATGAATTGTTAAATTTAATGATATGTATACAAGCACTTAAGAACAAAAATGTTTCAGAAAGGGGAAGTAATAAAAGATACACAATAGAATCTTGATTATCTAAACTACCGTATTTGAGGGCATATAAGATGCACCCTTATTTAGACGGCCACACACAAGGAAAAAAAGTTTCAATAGCATGGTTTCTTTTAGTTCTCACGTTTTGTAAAAGCCAAATAAACAATTATTGAATGCAATTACCTTCACGTATAAGACGCAGGTAACTTTTTTGAGACCAAATTTAGGAAAAAAAGTGCGTCTTATATGCCATCAAATACGGTAATTAAAATTGGGCATGGTTCAGATAAATGATATTCTCAGAAAATAAACTTGTAACTACTCACTATTACAACAGTTTCTCTACTTTACTAAGACTAATGAAGAGCTGAATTAAGTATTCAATCACATTTTTTTAGTTAAGTCAATGAAAATAATGTAAATTAACACAATAAGTTCAAGCTTATGTTCAACTGGTACAAGGTTTAAAACAATATGTTGAGTTTTGACAACTGCAAGCTGCCAAATCATATGATATTTGTAGAATTAAAAATTTTAATTCTTTTTTTGTATCAATGACAAGTAATTTAAATTGCAGTGATAGCTATGGAATGAAATGACCGATTTCAGTGACTTAATCTTTACCATCATTACCATTATAACATCACCATCTTTGTCAGCATTTATACGATTCTTTCAACAATGTGATTACTGTCCAGAATTGTGTTTTCAGCATCAGTACTCTCAACCTCTTTCTATTCTTCCATCATAATCTTCAGAGCTTGAAAACTATGCAATTTGCTTTAGTAAAGCTTCTACCACAATGGCAAAAGTTAACTTGCCACGATTTTTTTCCCAACCATTTGCTGGAATAATTATTTTAATTTTATACCAAATTTGATCAATATGTAAGCATAATCTTAAGGTTTATCTTCTTAAACTTATGAAAGAATAGTTCTTTTTTCCCCCCTTTCAATAATTTAAAGCAAAAAGTTCTTTTTTTTTTCTTTAAAGTTTGTATTTGGATCAGAACCTCAATCTTAAGTTTCTATTTGGTTCGGATGTAATCCGAACCAAAGCATGCCAGTGGCCTTAAGAGTTTCAAAACAGAACTTGAGAAAAATCTAGTGAACTTCATTATTCAATTTGCTTGGAAACAAAAGTTATATTGCAATGTTACAATTTTAGGCATTTCCTTAATGTATCGTTATGAAATGCCCAGCTGCGGTAAGATAGTTTCCCCAAAAGCGGGTTAGGGTTGCCAGAAAGTGGCAAGAAAATGCAGGGTTGCCAGGTTTGGCACGAAATCACAAATTTCGCAACAAAATTGGCGATAGGCCATAGACAGAGCAAGAACATATTCTAGAATAAATTCTTACCGGTTTTCCCGAGAATGTTCTCAAAGGCAGGTGAAAAGATATAAATACTCTGCCGGTACACTGAGTATGAGTTTACCATGGAGAGTATCGAGAGTATCCTGAAGTCAATAGCAGAGTAGTGTTTTGAGCTCCGAGAGCAATTGACTGAGTCGGGAGCTGTACTTTAGTGCTTTGCTGTGAAGCTATCTTCACTGTTATAGCCCGATAGCCTGAAGGCTGTGTTTGCTGATTGTTTCAGAGTGTTTATCGTACTTTTTCGACGATTGTAAACATGTCTTTGGAACTCTACTATGAAATGCTGGTGAATAAACTGAGTTTTGATTCTTCATCAAGTGTTGTCATCAATTACTCCAAACTCACAAACCCATAGAATGCAACTTTTATTGTACAACACAAAAGTATGGATAAGATTAAAAAATACTTCATTATGCAAACTTGCCTATATTTAAAAGGTGACATGTTAATAATTTGAGAATTTCAATTGAATATATTAATAAACATCATGCATGCTTGCATTGAAATAAAAAGTGAAAAACAATTAAGTTAGTCAAAATTTTATAAACTTCAAACCTACAGGCACGGGTTGATGCAAGGCTGCCATCTGTGCATCTATTTCGGCATTAGCCTTGGTAACTACTAAGTACACTGGACTTTGCTAACTACTAAGCTTCTGCCCTAGATGGAATTCTATGACAGAACACCAGGGGTCCCATGGTCTCATACACCTCTTCCCCATACCATCAACCTATAAAGAGGATTTTGAAACCCCATTGTATTTTGAGCACACTCTATGCTTACAAACACCTGGCCTTCTCTGGGATTCGAACCTGGGCCTTTTAGTATGGCAGTCAGCATCACTAACCACTATTCAATCTGGGCCACATTATACCTCTACAAACGTTTAAAAGTTGATTTTTATAAACTTCAATTAATTATATGTCAAATGAACTTAAATCTTCTCATCTGTAAACATTTTAAAAGTTGATTTTTAAAAATTTCAATTAATTGTATGCAAAATTAACCTCTCACCTTAAATCAGAATATTCATCTTCACTGGTAGCTAAATCTTGAGATGGTCCTAAATTCTTTTGTGTTAATTCTTCCTCTTCTAATTCACTTGTCAAAAGCTCCTCTTCAGACAATTCTATGATACTGTTTTCATACTCAACTCTTTCTGGTGTTTGATCACAACCAAAAGTGGAAGAAGGTTCTGTTAGTAAGTTTGTAGACTTTTGTACATTGTCTTGCTTTTGAGCATCAGGTGTTTTGGGGGAATCAGTAACACTTTCACTTGCTTTATCAGTTAATTGTTTACCAGGAGACAGAGCTTTTTCTGTATTGTCCAATAACGTTTTATATAATTTCTCTTTTTCTTCTTCAAAGGCACGAGTGAGGAATTCTTGTTTCCTTTTCATTATCTCCATATGTCTGTTTTCAGGTTTTTGCATGCGAAAATGAGGTATACAGTAGAATTTCCCTGGAAAAACAGAAAAATGAATAATCATTGCTCTATTCACATATTTATCACGTGCAGGCTTATATTCAGCAAAGTCCTACATACTATGATTCATTTGCTAATTTTTCAATTAAATTAAAAATTAAAAATATTAATGTTTCCATTAAGACTAACTAAATGGCGGAAACCCTTATGATACATAAAGCTTCATGAAAAGAATAACTACTTTGTATGTAATAAATCTATGTAATGTTTACTGTGTGCAATGCCAAATTTGTCCAATTCTGATTTTTTTTTCCCCAAAGGAAAACAAATTGCTATGTATGTGGGGATAATGAAGCAGTTGTTCTCCCCAAGTATACAGGGATCTGTATTTGTTTAAAAAACACCAGATAATATCATATTTTTGACACAGAACACAGTATAGCATTGCACACATTTAATATTATATACATTAGCATCATTGTACTGCTGTTCATGAGGCAATATAAAATAGGCTACCATATTTGGCAACTGATGCTCTGATAACAGCAAAGTACATATATTGCATTATAGCTAAATTTTGAAAAATTATTCTGCTAAAGCAAAAATACAATCAGAGAAGATCAATGAAACTTCATTTTACAGAATTCCACGACTAGCAGAGTAAATGAATGAAAAATCACAGCTAACAACTGAACAAAGGGCCCCTCATAACCGAAAAGTGTAGAATACCAAAACTGGAATCTAAGTGCAACCTTGAATTATAGATATATGAATACTATAAATTGTAATGATGTCTTATTAGATTTGAAATGCAAGCATTCAAAAATGGTTAATATGCCAATCACTATATTCAGCCAGCTGATCTATCACCTTGTAGATGGCTCAGAGCATTAAACTACCCAAAAATGATACCAGTAAACTGTAGATGACAAATACGGAATCTTTTTTGCTTTTTGAACACAATGTCTATCTGACACAGAATACATATACTAGGAAATCAAAAAAAAAAGTATTCTACAATAAAATGAAACCAAACAAGAAAATAAGAATGACAGAATAAATTATTAAATACACATAAAAAAACTAAAATTTTTAAATCTGAACACAAATTATGAATTAAACATACACTTCTGCTAGACTGTTATAAAGAGATCTTAAAAAAAAAAAAAAAAAAAAAAAAACAAACCTCCACATATAGCATCCCTGTCGAAAGAATAATTTCCAAGTCGGAGAGAGGCACTGCAATATTCACACTTGAAACAACTACGATGAAAGAAGAGTCCTTCAGCACTGAGACGCTGTAGTAAGTACACTCGTTCTTTACAAAAATAACAAACTTCACTGCTAGGAAGATTTGCAGAAATTTCCATTTCTGCAGCCTGAATAAATAAAGAATAGAAAAGAATATGTATAAGTGATACTGTTTTGCACAATGCAAGATAATAGGCATTATGTATAAAAAATTGCACACATATGACATACAAAAGATGTCTGAAACGTTTAAAAATTATATATTGCCTTGACAGTTAAAATCTGAAAAGTATTCAGCATCAAAAGTTTATGAGAATACTTTGAAAAATGACAAAAGGTTTGGAGGGGGATCAAACACATTCTATTGACTTTAAAAATAAAAATTAAGAAGCTATTGGTTTTCTTAGCATATACACTTTGGTTCTCAACGATAGTTTTTGGTTTTATGATATTATGTTTGAGACTGCTTTTATAAAATGAATGATCCAATAACTGGTACTTCAGATCCTAAGAGACCTAATCATGCTTTTTTTCCCCCTCCCCTGTTTTAAAATAACACTTGAAAAGGAACAGATACACATATTTTATTTGAATCTGATTCAGGTAATAATTTTGCTTTATTAGATGATGATTTTGAATTTTTGAAATGGAAAGCAACTCTAAAAGTAAAGACAAAGTTAAGGACATTAGAGATTTAATAACA